GTTTATGCTTAGATAAAATTCACATGTTTTGATTTTATTATTAAGCTTTACATTTTATTTAAACAATGTTACTTGTAAAATATTAATGGATATTTAATAAAATATATATACCTATCTTTCTTAAAATACGCGGCGTCATTTTTATGCTTTATTTATATAGTCCTGTGATTGTTAAAATATTAACATTGTTATACGCTTGGAAAAAAACATTTATGTTATATAATATATAAATATTTTTTCACTAATAAATATATCATTATAATTATTTTTTTGCATATGATATCATTGGTGCGCCCTTGACTAACAACAATTTACTGGATTTTATCTGAACGACATAAATTCTCGGAATAAATACCGCTTCGCAGTAATAAAATATCGGCCACTTAAAATTCCAGATAAAATTATGAATCTTTTATGCAATTTAAATATTGTAATAGATCCCACCCAAGTAATTAATAACGACAGATAGAGGGACTAGTATGGGTTGGGCGAGACCGCTTAAATCAACACCATTTTGTAGTAGGTTTAGTAGGTTTTTCTTTGGCTAGGCTTGCAAAAAATACCCACAAATGGCTTGACAGTAAAATTTGTTCTTACTTTTTCAAATAGAGAGCGCTATACGTTAAATTTAATTAAGATTTTTACAATTTTAATTAACTTTTTTGGTTCAAACAAAAGCTTTATTAATTCTGTAGAATAGTCAAAATTTGCTGTTATCATAGTATCAAAACACTACAACTACAACTTTTAATAATCAGCTGTCAAGCGAGTGTTTTTAAGAATAAGGCAGGAAAGTGTTAAAAATATCGAAACAAAAAAGCGATTTGTTATGTTGTTGGGTATTTTTTGAGAGGAAATCCTGTAAATATAAATTGTACCTATTAGATACAATAAATACACAATTTTGTAATGATTTACGTGAAAATTGTAAAGAATTAAATTCAGTATAAAACATAAAACAAATAAGTCGTCTAAATTCAAACAGCCTTATGCATTATTAAAAGAGTTTATTTAGAAAGTCTCCACTCAAAGGTAAAATACCAAAAACGGGTATTATAATAATACATAAATATTACATATAATTTAATGTTGCCCTGAATTTGAAGATATATTTTGTCCGTTGATATTTTAAAATGCAGTTTTTTAGAGGAGAAATATAAACAATTTTGATTTTAAAAGGTTTGTACAACAAATATATAACTTATATAACTTATTAGGTAAAGTTATCATTAGTTCATTCTGCACAACCAAATATACCTACCGAATTGAAGATTTATTTCTTAAAGTACATTTAAAATTAAAAACACAATGATCACTATCACTAAACTATTTATGCAATAATAAATCGAAATAAAAGTATTATACCAAAGTTTTTTGTTTTTTACTTGCAACAGGAACAGCATTTGTCGATTAAGACTTCTACCTTACTTTTTTTTTTGAAAAAACTACTTATTTATTTAAAAATTATGTGCAGTTTGTATGCTTTAAATGTAGGTATTGGTGACAATTCTTCAATTCCCACAATTCTACCGAGCGCCACCAGATGGCTTTAGCGTATAGGTAATACTGAACAATACAAAATCTAAATAATATTTAATTAATTAGTTTGTTAAATAATAGTATATTATTATACGAGAGATAATGAAGGCTATTATTTACAAGGATGCTTCTCGAGCCGTCAGGCGAGAAACGTAAATCATCCGAGTAAATAATGAGTATTATTTCAAGTGTAATACTATGCTTTTTCTACTCCAATCTCTTAACGTTACTTTTTTCCAATTTATAACCCGATTGCTTCAAACAACAGTAAATATTGAAATCACCCAATTACTGATGCCTAACAACGTGAATAATGAGGCGGTTATATTGGTTAACATTATTTACGAAAAAACCCAAATAATGTCAATAATACTCAATAGGAGTAGAAAAAAGTATAAAGCCTGAATTATAGATTGCCTTCCTTCCTTCCTCCCGTAGTCGTGCCCGTACGATTTGTGCGTCTTGTAAAAAGTCAATTTATAGATTTCCGTGTAAAATTCCGTAACCATGCGCGATGACACCTAAAATGCTTGACATTTGTTATTGTTTATATTTTGCGTTTTACCCATTGTGTGTAAATATGAAAGATAAACATTTATATATTAGTGCAGTGGTCACAATTTTAATTGCCAAGGCAGCTTGTTGTATACTGCCCAACTATGGAGAAAGGCAGTAACTGCTAAACAAGAAATTTGTGGGAAATTAGCATAAACTACATTTTTATAAAAAGCAGTAGGTATTTAACTGATTTATTTAACTTATAAGATAGTTTACTTCATTTCTTTGTTGAATTAAGATACAAAATGTCCATAGCCAAAGCACAGGAAAACGCATTTAGAATTTTTTTGTAGTTAAGTACTGCCTTTCTCCATAGTAGGGCAGTATAATGAAAAAAAACATCGAACAAGACGTTGGAAGACTCGTCCACTTTACCAAGACCGGGAAACTACGGGGTTTTACAAAGCAACGTTTCTAAAAATGAAAGACATTGATCATAAACAATATCTAAATATCCTATTTAGAGACACAAATTATCTAATAAACTGAACACCTACCTTAAATAATACTAAACAATCATGTATTTTAAATATTTTGTGCCTACGCGCTGTCACCCTACAGCGCATGTCCATAACAAGCACTGTGATTGGTCATGTCAAAGACCTTTACGGTGAAAGATAAAACTTAAAAATTTCTACGGCAGGAAGGAATGCCTTCCTTACGGTACGGGAATCTATAACTGGCACTACAATTTAAATAAACATTTTTGACGTAATTGTCACCATTAACATTGCCCGTTATTAATTTTAATTAAACTTAACAATTATTGATACTTTAAAATATTAAAATAACTTCAAAATATGATTTTGTTAAGAAAATATTTTATCCTTTGATTTTTTTTATTACTATAATTGCAAAATATTAGCACAAAGTATTAAAAATTCCTACACGGGAAATGTTAATGGTGTCAATTACGTAATGTTCATCTTCTACGGGAGGAAGGAAGGAAGGAAGGAAGGCAATCTATAACTCGGGCTTAAATAAAAATAAAAGAAACAAGAGAAATTATAATGTAATATTTAATATATAGTGTAGTGTAGTATAGTGCCAATGCGTGATGTCTGAGGCTCAGACTCTGAGCGCAACAATAACTGTGCAAACTCGCCCAAGTGTCATAACTATTTTTTTAATTCGAAATTTGACACTTTTGATTAAGTTGGTACTGTATGTTAGTATACTTTGGCGCTTTTAATTTTTAAAATTGGTACTCCTTGGTAATTTGACATTTACCATTTAATTGTCAGAATTATAATAGGTAAACAATTCAAAAGATAACAAAAAATTCCAAAGAAATAAATTTTAAAAACAAAACATATAGCATTTTGATGAAATGTATCCCTTTGCCACAGGGAAGGAAAGGATTAATACGCTAAAAGATATTTTTAAAGTAAAAGGGACACATTTGGTTTCACCAAAATAAAATTATAAATTATTTTTAGCTTTATCTAAACAACTATATTTTGAAAACCAATGCAGACAAGAAAAATAAAAAAATCGGTAATTTTTTTAGATGAGGGGATCTTTTAATTTGGGAGGTTTAAAACACAAGTATATTTTACATAATAGTATATTATGTATTAAGTTTAATAAACGCCATTTTATACACGAATTTAATTTAGGCACGAGCGAGCTTGCGAGCGAGTGCTTAAAATAATGAGTGTATAGAAAAGTTTATAAACGAGGTGCATACTATACTTTTTCTACGACAAATACTTATTATTAACTTAAAATGATTTAAATCAAAAATTTGTATAGAGCGCTATCTATGAAACAATAGGGGAATCACTGTCAAACGTCAAATTTTTATATTTTATAAACACAGATTATAAAGGTTATAATTCGAAATGTATTTCTTGAAAATTGACAGTTTTTCACAGTGAAAGTAAAGAAAATGTTTTATGAGCACTTTACAGTGGAGTCCGTGCCCGAATTTAAGTTATAGTTTACTGCCGGCGAAATTAAAAGGTCAGTACAATGTTCATATAAACTTTTCAAATATTGGCGTTGGGAAACTATTTAATACTTTTGTATTTTTGTATTGAGATAATAAAATAATTTTCACATTAAGTATTATTTTACAAGAAAGGCACTTTATTTTACAACTGTCAACTAACTTAAAACTAACTTCAGCCCGTGACTAAAAACATGTTGCTAACTTCAGCCCGTGACTAAAGCGCCATTAAGCCATAACTTGTCAATGTGTATTTAAAAGGTCACTTAGTGTCATGGAAACATGTACCATAAAGGGCGTTTTAAAGGTGGGAGTAGAAAAAAGATTTTTTAACTTAACCTGATTACAAAATGTATAAACATATTCTTAACCTCATATAATTATAACATAACCACAATTATCTCCACTAAATTATTTTGTTTTACTCAATGTACCTACTTAAGCATTACTGAAATATGACGTAGTGTAAAATAAAATGCGTATTGTCTTTAATTTAAGTTGCATTCTACTAACCAATTAAGCATACAATCACTTTAGAGCGTTTATTTCCAATAAATATTTAATTTTATAGCTTAAGGGGTCCTGCTGTTTTATAAGGTACGGTTAAACGTAGATTATTTTAGCTGTAGATAAATAATAATTTGAAGTCCCTTATTAGTAATAATGACCGTTTGCATGCTGGGGATAATTTTTAAAATATTAAATTTAAAATGTATGGGAAATTATTTAGGAAAATATATTGATTGGGTTTTAAGAGTAAATGGAAGGTTTACACTTCCTACAGAGAAATTAATGTTTTGGAAATAGTTATTAAAAAATCCATCACATTAATGAAAAACGAAACTCTTAACATTAAACACCATGTACACAAATTATAACCTTAAACTATGTTATTTTAGTGACATAAGTTAAAATGAATTCAAACAAAACTTTTTACTTTATTCTTTTATATTGCACACTAAATTTAAAATTATCTCTTTCCTTATCAAAATTAAACGGCAAATACACCAGAGGCATCAACAACTTCGCTCTAGCAGTTCCCCACAAGCTTACCGAACATGGGCACTTTGAAACTTTCCAGCTACCGCACTTTGTGGAGCACACCTATGGTAAAAGAAGGCGCAGGGATCTCACAACATCCGATAAAATTCACTATGGGGTCCATTTGGATGGTAAACTTCACCATTTGGAGCTGATTCCTAATCACGATTTTGTGTCGCCAAGTTTGGTTATTGAACACCGAGATCCAACCGTGCGTTTGAATGATCAGCAGTTTAGAAAATATGAGCACAAGAGGATGTGCCATTTCACTGGAAATGTGAAAAATGTTAACGGTTCTAAAGTGGCTCTGTCCGCGTGCGATGGTTTGGTAGGTTTTTCAATAAATCTATTACATAGTAATAAAAAATCAACTCTAAGCAACACTAATTAGAGTTTACATAAGTCCACTCTAAATAGTGTTGTTTTATAACACTACAATTAGAGTTAATTTCTAGTGTAATTTTCCTCAAGTAAGCAAGTATGATTTAACACTATAGTACTGAGGATAAAGTAATTTTACACTGTATTAAAAAGTGTTAATTTACCTAAAATCGTGTACTTCTACACTTCCTGAGTAAAATCCCACTTTTGTTCAGTGTAAATTAACACTACTTTGGAAAAGTTCTAATTTTAGAAAGGTACTTTTACTCTTTTAGTGCAAACTTCTAGTGTAAATTAACACTATTATTTGAGTAAAACCCATTGAAGGTAGTGAATAAAACGAAAAGGCAAATAAAGAGAAACATTTATTTGGAACAAAAATCTATGACAATTATCAAAATCGGTGCCTTTTAAAATATAATTTTATATTTGAGTCGTATGGCTGGCTTAAGCAAAATGGTTCCTTAAAACGTAAATGTTTTAGATCAATGCAATGTTTTACTGGCTGTCAACTTGTAAGCAATGAATTATCTTGAGAATTCATCAGTAATCCATTTTTCTGTTATAAAAATGGGTGATCCCATTGGTAGAGACTCTCTACTAGAGAGGCTTCAGGCAGGTATGTCGGGGATTTACCACACGTGTACAAATTTTCCATAATATTAATAAAAATGTAGGTATAGGTTAATATAACAACCATTACGCTTGAAAATAAAAAGTAAATCAAGTGTGTATGTATTTATATTATTAATGTTACAAGTACCGACCTACTGCCGTAAATTATTGATATACAGGGTGTTTCTAATATATGCGCAGGACTTCAGGATGTGATAGCTCATCCAAAAAGATGAAAAAAGTCGCTATTAAGTTACGCTCTAAAATGCACAATTTTCGAGATACAGGGTGTTGAAATTTTAGAAAAAAATTCGTTTTTTTCGAATATCTCCGGAACCGTTTATCGTACAAAAAACAGCTTTTGTAAGCATTTTGTACTCAAAATAAGCTATGTTTTGTGCTAGAAAAAAATTTTTTTTCCTCATAATTGGTGGAGATTTTGAAGGGGTAGCGGGTGTTTTTCTTCTCAACTTCTACGCCCCTGAAAAAAATTCGCGTTTTGAGAGGCCCATTCGAACCGCCAATGTTTTCTACACAAAAAAGGTACTACTGGTCATAAGCTCTAAAGTTGACCGTTTTCGAGAAAAATCAACTTTTATGTTTAAAAACATGGTCAATTTAAAAAAAAATATTTTTTTTTAATAATTAAACAAAATTTATTTTAACGTTAGGACAATTGTCCTAATTGTTACTTTTAAGTAACAAAACCAAACCATAATTGCAAAATAAAAAATGATTTAAAAGTTGTCTTTGCTTAATTCTCCAAACCGTAATTTCGCACATTTCAGCATTTGAGTAAAAAATCATTTTTTATTTTTTTTTAATTTTGCAATTATCGTTTGGTTTTGTTACTTTTTCTATCGTTAAAATAAATTTTGTTTAATTAGTAATAAAAAATTTTTTTCAAAAAATTGACCATGTTTTTAAACATAAAAGTTGATTTTTCTCAAAAACGGTCAACTTTAGAGCTTATGACCAAGAGTTCCTTTTTTCTGTAGAAAACATTGGCGGTTCGAATGGGCCTCTCAAAACCGTACTTTTTTCAGGGGCGTTGAAGTTGAGGAGAAAAACACCCGCTACCCCTTCAAAATCTCCACCAATTATGAGTAAAAAAAATTTTTTTCTGGCACAAAACATAGCTTATTATGAGCAGAAAATGCTTACAAAAGCTGTTTTTTGTACGATAAACGGTTCCAGAGATAATCTAAAAAAACGATTTTTTTTCTAAAACTTCAACACCCTGTATCTCGAAAATTGTGCATTTTAGGGGGTAAGTTAATAGCGACTTTTTTCATCTTTTTGGATGAGCTATCACATCCTGAAGTCCTGCGCATATATTATGAAACACCCTGTATAATATAGGTCGGGTATGGACATACTTTTAACATATTGGTATTTATTGAGTATTAAGGCTTAAAGAAAAAGGAAGTATAATACTTACCAAAAAATAAGAATGTCCCCTTATGGATTTACCGTAATTAAAATCTAACTGAACAAAAATGCCACACTTCCACAACGCGGTATCTCCGGATATGCACTGCGTAGGTAGATAGGTACCAACCAAACATTTTAAAACGCATTTCGGTTTTTACCAGTTTTGTCAGTCTATTTTGCCAGTATTGGTGTAATTTTAGTTTAATTGTGATACAATGTGCACTAGTAGTGTAAAGAAAAAAGACCTCTTAGTAACATCAAAACAGACAAAGAATTTGGCATGCACTGTAGTGTACATTTTGTCACTATTTAACACATTAAGGGGTAATAAACACTCGCATTAAGTTTTTCTACCCTTTTGATTTATTTTAATAATAAATAGTGTGAATGTACCAATGAATAATGTTCATATTCTTTAAATGTGTTTAATAAAGTTAATAAGTACTAAATGCTACCTAGTGTATTTTGTAGTGTAACTTTTACACTTACAAATCAACTCTAATATTTTTACCCCTACACTAAAAAATTTACACGGGCAAAATTTTTTACTGTGTATAGTTTTGAATTGATTGATTTATAGGCTGGGTTCATATCTGTGGACACGGACAGATATTTCATCGAACCTTTGGCAGAACACGTTCCAAATGATGAAGGACAACATCTACACGTTGTTTATAAAAAATCGACGAAGCATTCTGATTCTCCCACATGCGGAACTAAGAACTGGGAAGAATCCTGGAAGCAAAGGTTCCGGGAAAAATACGCAGCTGAGGGTTTTAACCAGACAAAAAGAGGTCTTAAAAGTGAACATAGATACTTGGAGACTGCTGTGGTTTTGGATAAAAAGTTTATTGAACATCACAAGAAGATAGACTATGAGACTTATGTGATGACTTTGATGAATATGGTAAGGGAATTTCATAAAAAGTCGTAGTTTATATTACAAAAATTATAGCTTCATAATGACGAACAATTTAAAATGACACCTCTTTATTAATAACTCTTTATAAATAACTCAAGAGATCTTTTAAATATATATTGACAAGCTGTGACTATGGCGTTTTAGCCACCACACAGTAAAAAATGTTTATGTAAAAATACATGGATTATCATTGTATTTCTGTGACCATTGATTTATGTGTGTTTTTTACATGTGAAATAATTTTTTACAAATCTTACATTGTATAGGTAAATTCAAAATTTGTAAATTTACCATACAGCTATGTGTTATCACAATGTAAAATTACAAATTATTTAAATGCAAATGCATAGTACTTTTACGTAATGTATACTACAATTTGAAATTTAAACAAATTGTTAGTGTTATTACAATGTAATATCGCATTTTATATTATATATTTGTAACTCGTCAGTGATTTTACAACGCATATATGTAACTATGGTTATAGTTATATATTGCAATACCGCTAAGGTACAAACGTAGCAAAAATGAGATTTGGTATTTTCTTAAAATAAATCAATGTTAAAAAAACATAGCAATGCAAATATCAAATCTCATTTTTGCTAAGTGTACCTAAACGGTATTGCAATATGTACACATTCCGCGTACCTAAACATTGTAATACTATAGTATTAGTAATACTATAGTATTAGTAATACTATAGTATTAGTAATACTATAGTATTACTATAGTGGCGGCTGGTGGATTTTGGGCACACCCATATCTCAGTTATTAGGCATGGGACCCACATTAAATTTATATGACTTTACAATGACATTATATAGACAAGTTCTGCGTAAGCAGAATTTAAATTAAAGTTTGCGAAAAAAAGTTAGTTCCCTGCCCCCCCTTATTAAGATAATTCAAATTAAAGAGATACAATATTTAATTCACTGAAGTTTATCGACAAATTTCAAATTTTATTAAAAAATTTCAAGAATTAAGCCTGAATTATAGATTGCCTTCCTTCCTTCCTTCCTTCCTTCCTTCCTCCCGTAGAAGATGAACATTACGTAATTGCCATTAACATACTTTGTGATAATATTTTGCAATTATAGTAATAAAAAAAATCAAAGAATAAAATATTTTCTTAACAAAATCATATTTTGAAGTTATTTTAATATTTTTAAGTATCAATAATTGTTAAGTTTAATTAAAATTAATAACGGGCAATGTTAATGGTGACAATTACGTCAAAAATGTTTATTTAAATCGTAGTGCCAGTTATAGATTTCCGTATCGTAAGGACGGCATTCCTTCCTCCCGTAGAAATTTTTAAGTTTTATCTTTCACCGTAAAGGTCTTTGACCAATCACAGTGCTTGTTATGGACATGCGCTGTAGGGTGACAGCGCGTAGACACAAAATATTTAAAATACATGATTGTTTAGTATTATTTAAGGTAGGTGTTCAGTTTATTAAATAATTTGTGTCTCTAAATAGGATATTTAGAGATAGTTTATGATCAATGTCTGTGTGGATCACCTGATGTTCTTACATCTCGCCTCTGTTGACTTAACAACTGAGCATATAGGCTCAGGGAGTACTTTGTTTTGATTGTGTTCCACTACACCAAGTTGCCCGACACTGATGAGACCCAATAAAGGTCGAAACAGCTGTCTGTCGGTATTTGAAGTTGGTGGAACGCATTCAAAACAAAAAACTTTGGCGAGGTGTAGGTTCAATTTTTTCTTATGAATATTACCAGTGATGGGTCCAAGAAAGTTTCTTAAAGAAACTAAGAAAATTGAATGTTTATCAATGTCTTTCATTTTTAGAAACGTTGCTTTGTAAAACCCCGTAGTTTCCCGGTCCAACGTCTTGTTCGATGTTTTTTTTTTTCATTATACTGCCCTACTATGAAGAAAGGCAGTAACTACAAATGCGTTTTCTTGTGCTATGATAAAGCTATGGACATTTTGTATCTTAATTCAACAAAGAAATGCAGTAAACTATCTTTTAAGTTAAATAAATAAGTTAAATACCTACTGCTTTTTATAAAAATGTAGTTTATGCTAATTTCCCACAAATTTCTTGTTTAGCAGTTACTGCCTTTCTCCATAGTTCGGCAGTATACAACAAGCTGCCTGGGCAATTAAAATTGTGATCACTGCACTAATATATAAATGATTATCTTTCATATTTACACACAAAGGGTAAAACGCAAAATATAAACAAAAATAAATGTCAACCATTTTAGGTGTCATCGCGCATGGTTACGGAATTTTACACGGAAATCTATAAATTGACTTTTTACAAGACGCACAAATCGTACGGGCACGACTACGGGAGGAAGGAAGGAAGGCAATCTATAATTTAGGCTTTACAGGTTTTATGCCATTTTAAATTTTTATTATGTCTAATAAAATTTGAAATTTGTTGATAAACTTCAGTGAATTAAATATTGTACCACTTTAATTTAAATTATCTTAATTTGGGGGGGCAGGAGGCTGGGGGGCACACTTAAAAACTAACTTTTTTTGAAAACTTCAATTTGAATTCTGCTTGCGCAGAACTTGTCTATATAATGCCATTATAAACTCATATAAATTTGATGTTGGTCCCATGTCTAATAACTGAGATTGTGGGTGTGCCCAAAATCCACCAGCCGCCACTCTGCTTTTGTCTGATTGTCCGCTTAAAATAAATGCTCCATATACTAGGTACTATTATTTAGCTATTTTTTTAATTTCTATCTTAAACTTAATTGGTTAAAAATAACTAGTAATTCGTTAGTAATGAGTAGAGATGTTATTTTAGTGTTATTACCTATTTGTCTACGCTAATCATAACTTTAGGTGCAATGGAATAAAATTAGTTTTAAAAAAAATAATTTCATTTGAGCCTGATTTTATTTTACCTAAATTTTCATTTTTAAGAGAAATGGTCTTTATTTTTACATTTTACTACCTAAACCAGTGTAATTTTACCTATTTCACCTAAATTCTTATTTTTAACAGAAATGAACTAAATTTTCAAATTGTACCATCAAAAAACATGCTTTTTTGTAGATGACATAATTGCAACTAAAAACATTTCTATCATAATGAATGAAAATTTGTTATTTTCTGAAATTGAATGCTTATTAACAAAAACATTTTAAATGTGCCGCCGCATTAAAAAACAATAAAATTTATAATGGTACCTATTATAATATTTTTACCAAATATTTTCGTCAGATTTTCAATTCATAAAAATCTTGTTCAATACACTTTTATACAATAATAAATTTAATTACATTACCAGCAAAAAGTTGCTTTCCAGTACTTATTTTTGTAAAGTACGTACCTAATTTAAGAATTTTCTCACCTAAAACAAAAAAAACTTTATCTACCTATTTAGGTAACTATTTTGATATATTTTGCAACCTAAAATCCCATCTCTAGTAATGAGCTATGTTTGACATGTTTTTATCATGTTTAAATGTTTGTTAAATTCAATTCATTGCGCAAAATAGGACATAAAATTTAAATTAAAACATAAAATACCAGTCAGATACAATATTTAATCCATCATTTGCTGTTTTTATTCTAAAAGTTTTTAATTTAAATTTGAAATATTAAATTTCAAATATTTAATAATTAAATTGTTGTTTCAATTTGTTAAATGTTTTTATAAAAAGTTACTAGTATTAATAAATTAATTTATTTGTTTATATTTATTTAGGTATCATTAATTTTATTAAAAAATATATACGAGGTGTGTTCAGAAAATATCGGGAATTTTCGTTTTTTGAAACAAATATTTATTTATTCGTCTACATTAATGTTGTCGCCTTCAAAATAGTCCCCATTGGATATTATGCACATGTGCCAGCTCTTCTTCCAATACTCGAAACACTTCCAAAAAGTCGATCTTTGGGATAGCCTTTAGTTCTTTCAGCGATGTGCTTTTAATGTCATCATTGCTTGCAAAACGACGGCCCTTTAAGGTTCTCTTTATTTTTGGGAATAGGAAAAAGTCAGACAGATGCATGTCTGGCGAATATGGAGGCTGGGGCATCATTACAGTATTGTTTATGGCCAAAAATTTTGATCAAAATTTAACAATTTTAGAACAAATTTTGCTGTTTATAAACGAGTTGCGTACTATACTTTTTCCACGACAAATACTTATTATTAACTAAAAATAATATAATTTAATAATTTCTATAGAGCGACATCTATAAAACAATAGAGTAACCAACTTGGGAATATTACCGGCGAGCCGGTGAAAATGTCAAATATTATATATAGTTATTCTGTTTCTTAATTCATCTAAATTAGCAGGCTGTGTTTTAAACACCCTGTTTGTTAGATGCCCCCTAGGAAAAAGTCTAGAGGTGTTAGATCTGGTGACCTCTTCTTCCGATGGATTTAGAAACAACTCTGCTAAAGTTCGGACAACTTGTTCTCTTGGCATTTCTAAATATCTTGCTGCGTTAAAAATTTTAATAAAAATATATTTATATATACAGGGTGTCCCAGAACTCGCGCCACAGAGAAAAAGGGGGCGTGCCGATAGCAATGGAGATGCCAAATTTAAAAATAAAAAATTTCTAGGTAATAGTGTAATCGAATGAGAGCAAAAAAGCGGCAGCCAATACCGAGACATCTCGCCTAGGTTAAACGTAGGAGCTTTAAAAATTGCTAGGAGACGATAGAACATTGTTGTCTTAAAAACATTTAAAAATCTTTTGGCCAACTGTATTTACTAAGTTGTCAAAAGCTTTCAAAAAATGAGGTTATTAATCTATGACTGATACTTCAGAACGCCAATGTTTTAAAGTAAAAAATCAAACCAGTTGTACTTTATTTAGCTTTTTTGCGCCCACGCTCCCCATAAATAGTTATCATTTCGGTATAATCATCAAGGAAAACATTTTCTCGATTTTTATGTAAGAATGTCATATTCTCGCACGCAAAATCGTTGAAGAATGAAGCTCATTCTTAAACGATTTTTGGTAACATTTAGTTTTTAAGTATTGGTACCTACCCTCAAAATGTCAAACTGTTTAATAACCTCAAATTTATTACTTTTAGGATTATTTATAATAGCTTTGTTTGTTATCCTGCACTAGTGCAACCTGAACTACACTTTTATTTAAAATGAAGCCTTTATTATTGTTTTGTAATATTAAGTTTGCCCCAACAATGCATTTTAATGCAAAATTTTAAGTTTAATGTGAAAAAGTGCAGTTCAGGTTGTACTTGTGCAGGATAAAATATTGACAAATAAATGAGCCAAACAGGTCAATCAAACTATATTTTATTGGAAATATTATATACCCACAATACACAAAACACAAAACTCCTGTGACATTTTACACTGCTAAAAGTAAACACAATTGTTCAAAAATATCAGAAAACATTAAAAAATAATACAATACTTACACAAAACCTTATTATCCAGTTGACAAATACAGACAGATTATTAATAAATAGTAAATAAAAATAAATCTGCCTGTCCATGCAACTGTCATTTTGTGTTGCCAACTGACATTTTGCGAGAAAAATCCCCCAACTAATAACGACCACAAAACAATTAAAAAAAAACCTAAATAAAAGTTAAAATCGAGAAAATAGTATAAATCACACGTTGCAGAAGGCTATTCTCGCACTCATTTGTTCGTCCACTCGCTCCTTCGTCGCTCGAGGCCAAATTTCGAATTCGTGCGAGAATATGTGGTCTTCTGCAACTTGTACTTTAATATACTAATTTATAATAACTTAATTTATTACCTAATACAATATTAATGACAAAAGTAAAGATTGACAGCATTGTCAATAATAACTTAATTTATAACCTAATATAATATTAATGACAGGAGTAAAGATTGACAGCATTGTCAATAATAACTTAATTTATAACCTAATATAATATTAATGACAGGAGTAAAGATTGACAGCAGTTTTACAATGAATTGGATTCCAGTGGACCAAATATTTTACATATTTTTTATTATCAACAATGCAACCTAAGTATCCTAGCAATTTAAAGAATTCCCTGTGGTGATCTATTGGGATTGGCTATCGTTTTTTATTCTTATCTCCCTTATCCTTTGCGTTGGACAATTTGAATTTTTAAATATGTGTTTCAAATTACTTTCGGTACGTTCCCTTTTTCTCTGTGGCGCGAGTTCTGGGACACCCTGTATATAGGGCCCACCACATGATCACCAACAATACCCGCCCAAACGTTGATTTTCTAAGGACGTTGAAATTCTGCATAATATTATTTACCTCGCCATTTAGAAGAAATGTTGATTCATCAGAAAATATAATATCTGCAGAAGAAAGAACATTTCTGTTTAATACATCTAGCATTTGTTCGTAAAATTTTCAATCAATTCTTGTACGTGTTGTAGTTTATATGGATGCATTTTTTGGCTTTTACATATCTTAAAACAGTCGAAATTGTTGGATCTACTTGAAAAGCTAATACAATAATGATTTTCACATTTTCATCAATAAAATGAGGGGTCCTGTGTAATGGTTTAACGTGTTCATAATCACGAAATTGTGCATGTATTTTAAAAAAAGTTTTCTAAAAAAGTATTGGTGAATATATTGGGATGTCTTCCAAGTGAAAATGATTATTTTGTATTTTTGTTGTTTTACTGTTAGTCTAGAATGGGGTTTTTGGGAAGCCACCAGGTCTAGTAATAACATAACATAAGTGGTTCTGCACTAATGCAAGAATTTTAAGAAATCATACATTTTCAATATTAAAGCTCCACAGAAGATAGCTTCACGGAGGTTAGGATTTCGTATGTTTTTTTTTTAACATCCCTTTGTATATTTGAAATAACTTATTGTATCTTTTGACACCTTAATATTTTTAAAAAATACAATTGTACACACATAAAATATTTATAAAAAAATACACTTACTGAGATATTACACGTCACGGTGGATAGGTTTTTAAATAGCAAATTAATGAACTTAAACTTTTGAATTATAAAACAGCAACACTCTCATCTGCATATAAATTCTAACTGACCTTCATGCATCTATAATGTCGTAAACAGAGGTTTTTGCTTTATTTATCCGTTGCATAAAATTTAAAGAAAAAACAGATTCACGGAGGATAGAATCAATTTTGATTATGATTATAAAAATTATTTCTTTTAATTTTTAATAATATTTTATATTTGATTCGATTGCTTTCGATGTGTTTAATTTACTTGGTGAACTGATATTTTTAGTATGAATTTACTACCTCAGATATTTAAAAACATATAGGTTAACCTAGAAAGAGTCAGTCACCGAAGATAGATTTAGACTTTTAAAACATTGTAAAAAATAATTAATTGCGGTTAAAAATCTGGAACCTGAGCTGTAATAGCTACTTAATTATGAAAGATAAAAACACAATGAAAGTGTAGGTCAAACTTATTTAGTTTTATTAAATATCACGGGGTAACACCATCGGGGGACATACTAAAATATTAGGTGTTACAGCGCTAAGATCAAATTATTGCAATTTTATTAAGAGCACTTGGATCAAAGAAAATACTTCTACGAGTAAAGCGTAAAATGTTTCACCAATAATAAAAATGTAAACAATGCAAACGGGACGAACCAAAAAACTGCATACACAGGTGCTATAGCATATATGTAACATGTATCAAACAATAACTTAGCGAAATAATAATGAAAAGCTAAATGGCGAAAGCCACAACACAAAAAACTACAGCATTATATGGGTAATTCTACAAAAGTTGGACAACTTGATGTCATCAGTCAATATAATTTTTGCGATATTGTGGATTCAAATTAAACATTGAATGTAAATATAGTTTGGATTTAATTAGAAAAGCAACACATTTAGATTTGTTAAGTAATAGAAAAATAGAGTCTAGTCTTATTTTTCTATATAAATTATTAAATAACTTAATTAATTGTCCAGAGTTGTTACAACAAATAAGTTTTAACGTACCAATGAGACGAACAAGACATCCTGAATTATTTTATATAAAAAGGCATAGAACCGAATATGCTAAATTCATGCCAATAAACAGAATGTGTTATAATGCAAACAAGTTTGATTTGCAGTATTTAAGAGATGTTGTAAAGATAAGGTAAATTGTTAAACTTGTAATTTGTAAAGTGGATTTTCCGTTAATAAAGTTATAAAGTATATATTTTAATATTTTTTGTAAATATTTTAGTATATTGCAAAAGATCCACATTTTTTTAACTTTTCCACCCAATTTTAATGTATTTTTTCAAAAGCACGTTTGTAGAAAAACATAATAAATATTCAAAAAATCAGTACCTTGGCGTGTCACAAATCTTGAATCAAATATTTGAGTGATTTTATTTTAAAATATATTCAATTTATAATAAATTTTTCAATTTCACTACAAACTATAAAACATTAAATAATGTATTTTTCATATTTTATCATAGATTCGAATAAAAGCAATTTTTAAAAAATTGATAATCTTTGTATTCACTTTTCCCCTACAGTTCTGTGTCCAATGTTAAAATTCAAAATTCCTGCGAAATATTTAAGTTTAAACGTCAAGTCCTCGTTTTTAATCAAGTGTTGGTAAAACATTACCTATAGAGCCCGCCCTTTGCACGACAGTCATCTTGAAAACAATGCAAGCGGCAAAGTTGTGGTGAATGCACGTATAGTTCTAGTCAAAATTTCAGTATAAGGCTACATGTGAGTTGTTGATAAGTAGCATCCACTAATAAAAAATATCAGTAAAATACTTAATTCCGAATTATAATCTCAAATTTGTATCCGTTTCGTCAGTTCCATGTTCGATGTTTCAGTTATCTTTTTTTCCCAAACTTCAATTTAAATTCTGCTTGCGCAGAACTTGTTTATTTAATGTCATTATAAACTCATATAAATTTGGTGTGGGTCCCATATCTAATAATTTCTCATACCCAAAATCCACCAGCCGCCACTGATGTGTGGTAATATTTGATTTTAAGATATTTAATGATATAATATGCTCAAAGTTGCAATAAATCTTATATTTTTCAATAAATTATGTATTTATTTAGTACCCTGGTATACTCGTCACTTCCCTTTAGAAAACACAGATATTTCAGAAACTGTTTGAAAAAGTGACTGGCCCGGTCTGCAATAGTATATTTATTATATTATCTATGTTCTCATAACAAAATACTGTTTAATTTTCTCCGAAAACTATATAAACAAAATGAGGTCAAAAGTTGCCCAACTTTTGTAGAATCACCCATATAAGATTTGAAATAAAAAGTAAGTTTACGTGTCCAAGCGTTTTTTATAAAAATCTTTTTTCATCAAATAACTCATGTGTGCACACTGTATAGATATGGTTATATCTAAGTAAATGTGAATTCATAAAGACAAATTTTTTCAATGTAGCACATAATTTCAGGTTTCGGATTATTATCACGACGCCTCATCCGGAAACCAGATGGATGTGGTGATTGTCCGGATAATTTTTTTGGAAAAAGAAGAGGAAGAAATCGATCTTATTATTAATCCGGATGCAGACAAAACTTTAAGAAGTTTTTGCAACTGGCAAATAAAAATAAATCCCAAGGATAAAGAGAATCCCAATCATCATGATATAGCTGTATTAATAACTAGGTAAGAGGCATTTTCAATCCCCTTGTGTTTCAACGCAAGTCAATAATTTTATTTATCCAATATTGAGAAATTATGTCTGTAAAATATAAAAAATGCGGCCTCTAAGAAACTGGTATTTAAAACATCTAAGGGCAATTTTTAGAATACAAACCTCCGATGCAAATAAGGATGAAGAATTTATTAAATTTTTAATAAAACCAACCAGGAATGTACGATATAATTAAAATATTCATTCTAGATTTTTAACGAGGACAAGCTGGGCTTTTTAATTTAAAATATCATAACATAAATATCCTTGTAAATGTTTAATCAAAGCTTATATCCATTTTTAAGCTTACCACAAATATACTATAAATGTTTTATTTTATAACCATTATAGATTTAAACGTTTTATTGTTAAAATGAGTTGTACGAGGTGTGTTCAGAAAATAACGGGAATTGTTAAATTTCGCAAGTTCAGATGGTCCGGTTGTCATAAAATTTTCTTTATTATGTTGGCATACATGCCCCCGAAGTATGATAAAAACTTTAGCTGTTTTCATTGTTTACTTTGTCTGTGGCAGCCGCTAAGGTTAGACGTGTTTTATGAGCTCGGCGATTTTTCGAAGAAATGGATCAAAGAATTTGTATCCAATTTAGCTTAAAAAATGAAATAAATTTTGTGAAATGTTAACAAAGGCCTATAGTGAGTCTGCTATAAGTAAAACAAGAGTTTACAAGTGGTATAAGTTTCCAAGATGGCCATGAAGACGTTGAAGATGACGAACGCCCCGAACGCACAAGCACATTAACAACCGATAAAAACATGGAAAAAGTGGAAAAAATGGTTATAAACCATCAGAGAAGTCGCTGATGATGTTGGTATATCGATTGGCTCATCCCATGAAATTTTTTCGAATGTTTTGGGTATGAAACGCGTTGCAGCAAAATTTGTTCTAAAATTGTTAAATTTTGAACATAATTTTTGGCAAAAACAATACTGTAATGATGCCCCAGCCTCCATATTCGCCAGACATGCCTGTCTGACTTTTTCCTATTCCCAAAAATAAAGAGAACCTTAAAGAGCCATCGTTTTGCAAGCATAATGACATTAAAAGCGCATCGCTGAAAGAACTAAAGGCTATCCCAAAGATCGAGTTTTAGAAGTGTTTCGAGTATTGGAAGAAGAGCTGGCACATGTGCAAAATATCCAATGGGGACTATTTTGAAGGCGACAACATTAATGTAGACGAATAAATAAATATTTGTTTCAAAAAACGAAAATTCCCGATATTTTCTGAACACACCTCGTATTGTCCAAAAAATCATTTTTGTGATTGTTTTGGTATTAATACGTTTAGAAAGGTTAGAAATTGTGCATTTTAGGATGTTAGGCCACAATCCACATTAGACAATAAATACTACTTTTTGACACATATTTTTTTTTAATTTTTAAAAAAGAGTTTTACTGTCAAAAGGTTAAATTTTTCCAATAATGGGTTCATGAGACACATTATTAAAAATGTATTTTAAACTTTTGAGAGCAACATAAAATTTACATTTAAAACGTGTTATTTTTGTAATGACTCCATTTAGAACTTTTAAATTTTAGTATGTGAGCAATTCCAATTCGTTAAACATACACTTATGATAAAACAAACAACAATTGTAGTAAAATACCTATAGTTATAAAGTTTCTTAAAATAAATTAGTCAAAAATGATTAAGTAATTATAAGTAAGGCCCGGATTTTTAGGTCAAAAAGTGATAAAAGGTTCCTAAATTAGGTGATATTTTTAATAAAATAGGTATTTTAGGTACCTATATTTTATGTACTTAACACATACATAAAATATAGGTACCTAAAATACCTATTTTATTAAAAATATCACCTAATTTAGGAACCTTTTATCACTTTTTGACCTAAAAATCCGGGCCTTAATTATAAGTCATAGCGAAAAGCAGTCACTAATAATTAGTCAAATTCTACCGAATGTAATAGTCAAATAAGTATATTTAAATTTAATTTTTTTTAAATAATACCTTACTCAATGAAAAAAATTTAATGAAAATTAATTTAATTTTCATTAAAAAAAAGTAATGCATAATGAAAATTAAACTCATTACTTATTATTTTAATAATAAGTATTAAACCTTAATGCATTCAAAAAATAACACTTTGATAGTTCGATTTACTAACATTAAGTAACTCCACCTATATAATCTAATTTTGGGCTGCTGATTTCAAAAATGCCACTCGTTTTGCTCCAGGACGTCTAGGATTCAAAATAATTGCGTAATAAAATGCTCTGCCCAATTATCTCAAAATGTAAGTTTTTTGTTAATATTTTGATTGTTTATTAAATTATTTTGCCTTTAATCTATATTGGATGTTCAGTATATTTTTGACATTTTTTGTCAAAAATATACAGGGACTTCATACAAAGTCATCGGTAGATAAATGTCAAATAGAAATTTTGTTTGTTCCATTATAACTATATACTATAGTAGTATTTTATAAGGGATAATTTAATAAAGCACTTTTCTGCAGAGAAGTGCTTTATTAAATACCAAATCTAAAATTATAATGTTTTACTGGGAAAAAGTATCATTTTTTGTGTCATTTTTTAATTACTAATTAAATTAAAAAGGCAACAAAGTAAATGGGTTTCGGTAATACTCTTCGATTATTATTTGATTGTTTTTATTTACATCATGCCTAAAGTACCCAAAAATTTAATCTCGAATCTTATTTATTAAGTTTTATCAAAATTTAATATCGAATTAAAGTATAAAAGCTCCTTCATCTACTTTATCGTTCAAGCACACTAAAGTGCATCTATTAATTATTCACATTTAAAATATAAACTTTAAATTGTATTTTTACTTGAAAGTGATTTCAAGAACCAAAAATGAAAAAAGAGCAGGAAATGGAAGTGGTAATAGAAGTGGCAGAGAAAGAGAAAGGAGACAAACATTTATGTCGTCGTTGTAAATTTGTTTTGTTTTTGTTGCGGTACCTTTACGCCCAAGAAAAACCAACGCAATATTTCATTACAAAATTTTATAAGATATACCTACTACTTTAATTTTGCAGGAATATTAAATGAACCTGATAAAAGACGTTTAATGATCAAGCATTCAAAAATGCTCTCAAAGTTGACGAGCTTGTCGCATATGGCAGTGTTAAAGCTGGCGCCAATTCATTGAAAAAATGCTTTTCGTTTTGCGTTAATAGGTATGTCATTTAAAATACATTTTCTTTTTTTTCATCCTGATAAATATGCCGAACTGATGAACATGGAGAACGATTTCACCAAGTAACTTCAAATCTAGAGCATTGGTAGATAACTATGTGTAGAGCGAAAAGCATTAAATTTTGAGGGCTTAATTTGGATGAAAAAATACTAAAACTTGTTTACTTTGTTGCCCTTTCAATTTAATAATTAAAATAAACGACAAAAATGTCAAATAATGGTTGTTTTTTACATAAAATACATTAAAATTTGAGTTTTAGTATTTAAAATGTCATATTATATGATCTATTTGCCGTATACCAATTACTTTAGTACATTTAAGATAAATTTAAGCCAAAATAATTTAATAAATAATTAAAATACCAACAAAAAACTTACATTTTGAGGTGATTGAGCAGAGCATTTTATTACGAAATTATTTTAAATCCTAGACGTCCTAGAGAAAAACTAATGACATTTTTGAAATCAGCGGCCCAAAATTAGTTAAACAAAGCTGGAAAAAAAGTTTGTAAAACTATCAAACTATGTAGTGTAATTAATTATTTGCAACTTTGAATGCTATTGAGCTAACGATATATAAAAGTACATAAGTTTGGCGCCATTATTAAAAGAAGATGGTAATGGTAACTCAAAACAAAGACCCTGTATACCATTTATAGTCATTAATTTTTGTGGAAAATAATAAATAAAAGCAATAAAAATATAATTTTAAGTTTGTAAGTGTAAATTAACTAAATTTAATGAGATATGAAAAAGAAGAGGGTTAACTAGTTTATGGATACAAGATTAAATATAAAACTTTTTGCAGCGAGCAGCAAACAATCAACAGGCTAACGAAAACCGCTTTCATTTGTCGCTGTAATGGTAAACTTTTTTATCTAAAATTCACAGATAAAAGACAAAAACTCCATTGTTTATTTGTTCGCTTGTATTGTTTAAAAGTTTCGTTCGCTACCGTTTCACCAACTGTTTCCTGTTGAAAAGTTTTTTATCAAAACATAAATTCAATTTACGCGTATCGCTGTAACGTTTTCTTTTTCACGTCTGAATTGGCTGCGGCAGCGGTTGACTTCATAAAGACACGTAAAACTTCTCCAATAAAGCAAAAAAGTTGTCTCTATATTCTCCTACATCGGAGCATTTAACTTTTTTTATGTTATTAGCTACGATATATTTGCGGGCACCGCGACAGCCAAGATTTATCTATTTTTACTCGAGAGCACTTTAAGAACCAGTTAAGGCCATAGCAGATTTAAGTATATTTTATCGGTCTTTATGTTTATAACATTAACGCCAGTCAAATTATTATAATATTCAATAAATTACTGCAAGCAATGACGCCATTATTCACACCCAAGTTCAATAACATGATTTTACAACTTGATTTTATTAAAACGCGAAAATCATCAAAAAGCGTTTAAACAAAACTTATTTCAGTGGCGGCTCGAGGGTGGGGCGAAATGAGGTTAATTTTGTCTAAATATCAATAAATTTTCACGTCACTCGGGAGTTCACCTTTGGTGGGCCGATAGCCCTTTTAAACCATTATAAACTAAACAAAAACAAAACAAAGAAAATATCAAAGCAAATTGCAAAACATATTTTTTTAAACTTTAAAATATATATCTGGAATTAAAAATATTATTAATATGGATGGATAAAAATATATATACACAATGTGTATTACACATAAAACAAATAAAATATCAGAGCAATCAGAATACCCACCCCCTGAACTCCAATTGTTTTTGACACGGCCTAATAAAATTACAATGGCAACAGAATAAGCTTTGTTTATAAATACTGTCAAAAATAATATTACCTAACCCTAAAAAAAAGAAGTTATGATTTCCAATAGGAAACATAAAACTCATTTACATGTTCCAAAGATGTAGTAAATATTTAGGTCTTATCTGCTGGGCTGCTGTTGCTGCTCTGCTGCGAGTTAGACGTGGAGTGAGCTTCTTTGCCGCTGATCATTGTTTATATACCATCTTAGCTTTCCGCGTCAGTAGCAACGGAGCTCACTCCACGTCTAACTCGTAGCAGAGCAGCAACAGCAGCCCAGCAGATAAGACCTGAAGATGGTACATGTGATTGTACCGAAACGTCGTCAAACATACGGTTCTTTTAAGAATCAAAAACCGAACACGGAGCAGATCCTGGAAAACCATTAATTAATATATATATATATATTAGACTGGGCCAAAAAAATCAACTATTTTTTTTTGAAAAGTATATCGAAAATATGGTTTGGGGTGACAACAAAAAAATTATTGTGAAAGTTTAAGTCCATAATATTAATATTAAGAGGTCTATCATCGCAATTTTAATTATTTTTTCGTCAGCAAGTTTTAGGCTCAGAACTCCCAAACCATTGAGTTTAACAAAATTGACTTAACTCATACGAGAACATCAAAACCCACGATCTCCCATAGGCCAACCAAGGAATAAGAAATAAAAGTATAGCAAATTTGCTTATGCACAACCACCCATTCCTTATGTAACGGGGTTTTTTGTCGTGTGTTAACACGTTACATAAGGAATGGGTGGTTGTGCATAAGTAAGAGAGATAGAGAGAGATGTAAATACACTTTAATAGTGTGCTTATATTTCACAATTTCCACTATCTGGTTTTATCTGACTGAAGTGGTTACTAACATATTTTTAAATAAATAAACTTTGGACATCATTTGCCGGATAATGTAACCGATACATTTACTAATCCGACGTTATGTTTGTTACACAGATACGACATTTGCTCTGACAATATGACGAATTGCGGTTTAATGGGGTTAGCGTATGTTGCCGCCGCCTGCACCGGCAACGATCCCTGCGCGATCTGCGAGGAAGGAGGACTGGTCACTTCTGTTGTCATCGCTCACGAAATGGGTCATGTGTACGTTTGGTTTGTAGGAACATGTTCATTTTAAAAACATATCGATCCTTTTTTACAAACAAATTTGTTAATTTTAACAAAATATTAACCAGATTTTATGTTAATCCAGGTCCACATAACTTTATCTTAAGTTTAAAACCAACTGTAATCTGTTAACTAAACTGCGCACCACTCAATGTGTCGCGACCAAAAAGTTCATCCTTTTTCAAAACGACATAACTTTTTTGTTTCTAAAACGATTTTATTTTGGTCTGTGATGTCTTCTAGTCCCATCCTCTGGCAATTTATGCTATAGATATAAAGCTCACCGTTCTTCAAGTAAATTTCGTACAGGGTGATATGTAAAACGGTGAAAAATTTCAATAACTTCATCCAAGCCCCGTTTGAAAAATGAAATATTTTTTTAAGTTTTTACTTTGAAATAATGAAGTATTATGTCTTACCTTAAAAAGGATTTCAAATTTTTCGAATTGGAATCTTAGCAACGAAAATATGATTTTTTTTCCAAAAGAGTACATTTAATGGTTTTTGGTAGGCAATACAGTCAGTCTTTTTAAGAACAAGAAGATAAAATGGTGAAAGATTGTTCCTTGAATAATTCTGAACAAGCGACAAGCAACAAACTTCCATTATTATCAGAGGGGCCTAAGCAAAGGCCACTTTTTCAAAATGTCATTTTGCTGAAATTTGCGAAAACTAAACCTGAACCGAAATTTACGTTCGTGACATGTTTTCTTTATAATTTTGACCTGATTGTGATCCATTTGTCAAATTTAAATTTCAGATAAAACCAAAATCATCAAGGATCAAAATTCGAAAACAATTCCCGGCTGTTAAATGTCTTAATAAAATTCGATTGCTGGCTTGTTTCTTGCATATTTATGATTAAAATGCCATTTGGGGATTCATTTTTTGGGCGAAAGTACTGCAATTTGTTTGAGTGGTTAGGATAATGTTACTTACATTTGCATTGTGCACTAGTGATAACTTAATAAGTTAATTAAAAATATTTTATCAAAATCAAAACTTCAACATTCAACAGAAAAATGTAAAAAACAATAACAATAATAACTTTCATTATTTCGTTGGGCCTCCCCTAATACGTAATAATTCATTAACCCTCCTGGGCCTCGATCAAGTTCCTTCTAAATTCCTGGGGTATCCCATTCTTCCTGAATAGCATTTACCAATTTCATGCGTCCATGCGACATGATAATAACGTACTAAGATGTAAAAAATTAGTAAAAACCAGCAATCGTATTTTATTGACATTTAACAGCCGGGAATTGTTTTCGAATTTTGATCCTTGGTGATTTTGGTTTTATCTAAAACTTAAATTTGACAACTGAATCACAATCAGAAGGTCAAAATTATGAAGAAAACATGTCACGAAAGTAAATATCGGTTTAGGTTCAGTTTTCTTAAATTTTCACCAAAATGTTATTTTGAAAAAGTGGTCTTTGCTTAGGCCCTCTGAAAATAATGGAAGTTTTTTGCTTGTCGCTTGATCAGAATTATTTAAGGGATTTTCTTTCACCATCTTATCTTCTTGTTCCTAAAAAGAGTATTGCCTACAAAAAGCCTTAAATGTACTCTTTTGTAAAAAAAAACAGATTTTCGTTTCCAAGATTCCAATTCAAAAAATTTGAAAACCTTTTCAAGTTAAGACATAATACTTCATTATTTCAAAGTAAAAACGAGAAAAAATATTTTTTTTTTCAAACGGGGGTTGGATGAAGTTATTGAAATTTTTCACCGTTTTACATATCACCCTGTATAAAATTTACTTGAAGAACCGTGGGCTTAATATCTATAGCATGCATTGCCAGAGGATGGGGTTAGCAGACATCACAGACCAAATCGTTCAACAAACAAAAAAGTTATGCCGTTTTGAAAAAGGAAAATGGTCGCGACACATTGAGTGGTGCGCAGTTTAGTTGAATAAGTTGTTTGTAATATTTTGTAGATTTAATAACAAAATCCTATGTCAATAATTCAATTTTAATTCTTGTAATTTTCAAAAACGACCTTATTTTTACCTTTTGGTAAACCCAGCTACACTGCCCTGCTAAGCAAGAAGGTCGTATCTGACAATTTGTTGATTTGGAATAATTGTAATATAAGACTACTTTTATTAGTAACACACTATTTATCATTTTACTAATGCAGATAAAGCATTCTGCGTTAGTGCAAAACATGCAGAAATGCCCAATTTTTTATTTAGATATGACAGTTCCATTTCTGAAAAAATTTCAGATACCTTCTTGCTTAGCAGTACAATAGTTATTATTATGTAGATATGGATAGCGTTTAACGAAAAGGAACCAAGCGCCAAATGCTCAAAAGGTTAATCATCATTTTAAACTTTTCTCAAAAGGATTGAGAGGGTTCCCAAAGCATTATTAGTTTTTTGAGCAGCATGAAAAATGATTTTTCTTGCAAATAATTTTACCAGGCCCAGAAAAAGTTTTTGGCGATTGGTTCCTTTATGTTAAACGCTATATTATAAAAACAACTATGTTTTTTTTTTAAGTTTCACGTGATTTTTTATATTTTTGACAATTGTTTCGTCACACAGTGACTTCTTCAGAATGTATTTAAACTTAAAATTAAGTGAGTTTATATAACATAATGTTTTATGGTACAAAATTTTTAGGTCTACATACCTGAACAAAAGTTGCTTAATACATAGAAAGAGAATAATGATAGAAAAACCGAATTTACATGTAGTATAATATATTATTATTTTGTGAATAATTAAAATAAATTTAATAAAGTTGAATTATTGGTGGAAAATTGTCAAAAATTAAAAAAATCACGTGAAACTTAAAAAAAACATAGTTGTGTTTATATCTACATAATAATAATAATATGGAGTTTCATCAAGTAAAGGTCGAAACAATTAAACAGTTACAATAGTATTTGCTGGAAATTGGAAATCTAAATTTAAAAAAAAATTCATAAGAAATGTTGCTTTATTAATCAATTTCCTAAACAAAAAAATTAACACATACCTACATAAATAAACACAAAAATTACTTACAAACACTTAAATAACAGACCATTCTGAAATCATGATATTATAAAGAAATTTGATACAATATAATTATCAGTACTACTACAACACTTACTGATATATTTCGTAACTTTAACCCACTTCACTGTATCCCCTAATTACAGTTTAAAAACCAGTGATGGCATCTTTACAAAAAACTTCGCACTTCGCACACTCGTTAAATAGGTATAAGAAATCCAAATAACAATAATAACAGATTTCAGGTAATCTATTTTAACTTTCAATTTTCTTAGTTTCTTTAAGAAACTAAGAAAATTGAAAGTCGTTTGACGGTGTGGATCGCCTGATGTTCTTACATCTCGCCTCTGTTGGTTAACCAACCGAGCATATAAGCTCAGGGAGTCCTTTGTTTTGAGTGTGTTCCACTACACCAAGTTGCCCGACACTGATGAGACCCAATATAGGTCGAAACGGCTGTCTGTCGGTATTTGAAGTTGGTGGAACGCACTCAAAAGAAAAAACTTTGGCGAGGTGTAGGTTCAATTTTTTCTTAATGTATTATAAACACTCTGGGCAGTTGTTACAAACACGTTACGAATTAGAATAAACTAAGCAGAAACATAAGTTGGAGACGGATGCGTATTTTCAGTGGGAAATGTTTTGATTGACTGCCTGAAATCACGTGTACTCTTCAACGAAATAATTTGTTTAACATTAACAAAATAATGTGTAAAGTTTGAAATTAACAAAATGCTTAAAAAATTGCATATTACCTTTTGATAAAATGTTTTCCTTTGTTAATATAATTACAAACCCTGGTTTTATACAAAAAATTATGTTAAAAATTTACAAAATAAAATTAACAAACTACAACGAATGTTAACAAATTTAACTTTTTTAACAGTGTATGTTTTCATCAAATTACAATTTCGATATGTTACGTAAATAAGGATCTTAAAATTATAAGCAAAAATCTAATTGTTAAAGTTTTTTTTAAATTTTCTATTCAGTGTTGACCCAGATTGACTTTGATACACTGTACCAAAAAAAATATAAGTATGGTTTTAATTTTCTTCAGTCTTGGCCTGCTTGACCTAAAATTTATATTATACATATTTCAAAGTTAATCCGGGGACACACTGTATAAAATCAAGATAATCATTTTTTTAATTAAGAATGGGGTGTTCACATGATAAAGAAGGCGAATCGAGTTGTCCAGCCCAAGACGCAGACGAATCATTTTTTGTAATGGCTCCTTACGTTAACCTTTTTACGTTAAAATGGTCGACATGCAGTAAAGAATTCATGACGGCATTGTTTGAGTAAGTTCCTTTTCTAATATTCTTATTGGTCCCCATCAATATGATAACATATAACCATATATAAATAATAACTATATAATGATGTAAATCAAATTCCAATAATACTTTACAGAAGGTACATATCCATAAAAAAATCCTAGTCTTAATGTAAACTCTGTTTTTATCTTATATATTTTTACGTTACTTTTAAGAAAAATTCATTAAACATTTTGTTCCGTACTTTTGCACTGTATAATATTGAAATTAGTTAAATCTCACCTACAAACTTTCTTCTTTTTATGACGACGACAAATTTACGAGTAGTACAAATAAACTTAAGTCTTACATTGAATCTTTATTTTATTTAAATCCCACTAGAACAAGTTAACGACTTAGGACATGATGTTAAGTGTTTTTGTCGTCTTAATTTAAAATGTCGAAGTACATGGTGAGTGCCTGCCTTTTTGCTTAATTATCATAAAATAAATGTTATGTATATGGCAGTTTCTCATTTGGAATCATCATAAAGGACTGGTAAATGCATAATGCATACAAATAAATCAAATGTACGTAACGAGCGGAATGACACCGAACAAATTTCGAATTTATACGTTGATGTTAAACATTAATAACTAAGAATACAATTATGTTTTTTCTCGTAAATTATGCTAAATAATGCAGTTTTGATTAGATATGTTCTTATTTATATATAGGGGTACCCAAGTAGCACAACTGGTTAAATAACTAAAATTCTAAGTAAATTAACCAAAATCTAAGTAAAATAATGTTTTTTTAAACATGTGTTTTAACCAATTATTTGTATTTTGTATAATTTAACTAATAAATAAAATCTATTGGTAATATTACTGTAACCTATAGATAAATTAGGGTTATTTCAAGGGTTTAAATTGACTATAAATAAACCCAATATTTAACTAGTTAGTAATATTACTTATAGGTTAAAAAGTAGGTGGTTTTATAGAACTACTTCTATAGAAGTTACATTACGTTATATTAATTTTTAACCTTTAAAAATGATTAAGTCTTTTTATTTTTTTTATACAAATTTTGGTTTAGTTTAACTTTTGATATAACTTTTTGGTTAATTAACCACTGCTTTGGTTAATTTGGATATATTTTTTAACCTACAAGTTAAATTTTAACTAATATATTTTAACTCGCTGCTAAATTAACGTTAATTAATAAACTGGTTAAAAAAGTGATGGTTTTACTGTTTTTATTAGCTTTGTTCGCGGAGCCCATCCATGACTAGTTCCGTATCTGTATAGGGTAAATAATCACGAACCATGCTACGCATGCGCGATTCGGAACCGATCAAGAATTAACAAATCTCCGCGAACGCGTTTCTAACCGCAACCATCAGTCAGCTGTTTTGTGACAAAACTTTTTGGGGAATCTCCTTCCTGATAATTATAGTATTCAGAATTGCTAAATCGCTCTGCTAAATCATCAACAATCTCTTTGCTAACTCGAAAATGCTCCCTAAATAGCTGATCATCGAACATGGGAACAATTTCTTCAAAATATGCAGTATTTTTAGGAACTTCAATTAAATCTAAACTATTTTCTAAATCTTCATCACTGGATGATAGATGATCACTCATCTATAAAATAAGCAAGGAAATGAACAATGAAAGTAAAAAATAAGTATTTCAACTTACGTTTTCGTTTAACAATTTAATTAAAAACAATATAGAACATATAACCTAAAATAAACTTTAAACATTAATGAACAATACGCATGTCTGACAGCTAGTACATGCTAAAATCCTCGGATCGTTTTGACTTGTCAGTAATTAGTTCTAAACTGGTCCCGAAGGCTCCGCGAACGAGTGATCAAATGTCAAATGTTGCCGATTTTTACACCGCGAACGCTAAAATTGCCAGTGCGCATGCGCAGTTGTCGCGGATTGATCACGGATGAGCTCCGCGAACAAAGCTATTGTTACCTGCATAAAAAATGGTATATTATGTATCAAGTTTGATAAACGCCATTTTATACACGAATTTAATTTAGGCACGAGTGAGCTTGCGAGCGAATGCTTAAATTAATGTGTGTATAGAAAAGTTTATAAACGAGGTGCATACTATACTTTTTCTACGAAAAATACTTATTATTATCTTAAAATGATTTAAATCAAAAATTTGTATAGAGCGCCATCTATGATCAATAGGGGAATCTGTGTGTCACTGTCAAATGTCAAATTTTTATATTTTATAAAGGTTATTATAAATGTATTTCTTGAAAATTGAAAGTTTTTCACAGTGAAAGTAAAATGTTTTATGAGCACTTTACAGTGAAGTCCGTGCCCGAATGTAAGTTATAGTTTACTGCCGGCGAAATTTAGGGGTCATATAAACTTTTAAATATTGGCGTTGAGAAACTATTTAATACTCTTGTATTTTTGTATTGAGATAATAAAATAAATTTCACATTTAGTATTATTTTTTCAAGAAAGGCACTTTATTTTAACGATTGTATTACATTTGACAACTGTCAACTAACTTAAAAACTAACTTCAGCCCGTGACTAAAAACCTGTTGCTAACTTCAGCCCGTGACTAAAGCGCCATAAAGCCACAAATTGTCAATGTGTATTTAAAAGGTCACTTAGTATCATGGAAACATGTACGATAAAGGACGACATTTAATTTTAAGGATCTGTGAGTCATATCTATAGATAAACATAACCATATTTGGTAAATTATTACTATACAGGGTGAGTCATTTAACTTGAAACTTTGAAATATCTCAGTTAGTATGCATTTTACGAAAAAATTTTTAAAATAAAAATTAAATGATTAGAGGGGGAAATCAATCAGTACAAAAATTGGTCCTCATACTCTCCTCCTTATAGGGGGAACAGGGAGTAACTTTAAAATTTCCAATGGAACACTCTATTTTTTATTTCAGATTCGGATAATTCGACTAAAAATAGGTAGGTTTTGTCTAAAGCATTTTTTCATATTTGTAATAGATGGCGCTGTAATGAAAAAAAAATAACTTTGTTCGATTTTTCTTCTGTATACGATTCTCCAATAATTTTTGAATAAAATACTTGGATTTATTTTTTAAATTTATTTATTTTTCAAAATTTTAATTAAAGTAGGTGCTCAAAATGGCGGCCTTCGACTTCAATGCATTTATTAATTCGCATTTCGTTTTAATATTCTGCTAACACTGCTCTGGGATATTCCTAAATCTCTAGATAATTCTCGTGTGCTTGCAGGAGGATTAGCGGCCGTTGCTGCTAATACCTTAATTTCATCATTTCCACCTGTGACTGTTGCTCGACGTACTCTTTTTTTCGGTTAAACACTCCCGTTTGTAGTAAACTGCTTGACTGTACGGTGAAATGAAGTACGTGATCGAGTTTTATCTGGAAAACGCTGAGCGTAGATATTAACAGCATCATCAAGATTCCTGCCTGCTTCTCCATAAATCAAAATCATTTCTATTTTTTCTTCCACTGTTAAAAAATCCATTATGAATAGCTGCTTAACGAAAGGAGGTCTTTTTGTTTGCAAATTAATCTTCTTAAACTAAATTTATTAAATAATGCTTAACTATAAATAGTTTCTTTATACCTTAATAATAATAATTATTTATAACTAAATAACATTTTTTTATATCTCAATTAGTATTAAATTAATTAATTGACAAAATAATGTTTTTTTTTACCTTAAATGAGGTATTTTTATTAGAAATAGTACAATAATCCTTTAAATTAAAGGATTTAATGCTGGCAGGTAAAAAGTGACCATGGTGCGCATTCGATAATTATCACCGAATGAAATAATGTAAACTTAAACGAAAGGAAACTAAAATATCAGTGGCGGCTGGTTCTAAAGGGCACAAGGGAACGTGCCCACAAAACCGCCCAGATAAAAAGTAATAAAAGTTATTTGTTGCATTGTGCATTATTTTAGTTATACGTAACACCATTGTGATTACTATTTATGGATGGTCTCAAACCTTCCTTTCGTTCGCTCAAACGGTTGAATTTAAACCTTCTTTCCGCCGGGGCACAGTTTGAAATGTACCCATTCCGAATATAATTCGGTGATCTTCGGTTATCCTCTCAGAACGCGAATATATCGTCAATTTGGGGCACCGAACACAGCGTCTCTTCAACCGCTCAGCTGGTATCTGTGTCCGTTTGTTTGATTTCTAACTTTTTTGTCGCCACGCACCGTTGTGTTTTTTAAGTTTTAAGTGAATTACGTGTTTTGTTTTTAAAATAGCCTTTATTTTTTATTAACAATAATGGCACCAGTGGAAGTAAGTTTCGTGCAAAATCTTTTAAAAAGCCCGATTTCACTTGAAGATAAACTTTTAATTAAGAAAAAAGGAGGACATATTTCCGATCTTCGAATACACTACACTTCCGCAGGTAAAGGCCGAACTTACAATAGAGTATTTAACAGAAATATCTATGAAAAATTCGAGTGGATATGCGGATGTTCAGTAACCAATAAGCTTTTTTGTTTTATGTGCTTAATTAAAAAAAATAAAATTACTTGCGTGGAATAAACATGGGTTAGATGATTTAAAACACATCGCAGAGAGGGCTAAGAAACACGAAAATTCAGTTTCTCGCATGAAAAATAGGAGAATGGACTTTATGTACAAAAATTAGTAGGTAAGTTTTTTGTCCCTTTCCTCTTCCAGAACCTACGAGCCGCCACTGTAAAATATTAGTTAAAAATTGTAGGTAGGTACTTAAAAAAAACAGATTTAATTTAATAAGATAATTAACAAAAAAAGTGATAGGTTTTTAGAAAAATTATTGCAGAATCGTATACAGAAGAAAAATCGAACAAAATTGATTTTTTTATTACAGCGCCATCTATTACAAATATGAAAAAATGTTTTAGACAAAATCTACCTATTTTTAGTCTAATGATCCGAATCTGCAATAAAAAATAAGGTGTTCAATTAGAAATTTTAAAGTTAGCCCCTGTAACAGGGGAACAGTTCCCCTATAGGAGAGTATGAGGACCAATTTTAGTACTGATTGATTTCCCCCCTCGACTGACTTAAGAGTTAAAAAGTAAATTTAACCAGTTGTGCTACTTGGGTAATTTCATACCAAATCCCACAATCATGGTGATATATTTTTAAATGAACAATATAAAAAAAAATATTGATCAACACGATTGATAGATTTGGTATGGAATAACCCATATATCCTGATATCCAAAGGAATGGTCTTGGAGATTGTCTGAACGACGAGCCCAAGGACACGCTGTATCCTTTTAGAAACGTCCTGCCCGGAACCATCTACGATACCGATGCGCAATGCAGCCTTCTGCTACCCAAATCGTATGGAACGTGCAGCAGCGGAAGCGACAATTTCTGCGAGTTGCTGGTCTGCAGAGTCTCTCCCACGACCTGCTGGTCCAAAGATGAACCCGTTGCTGATGGCACCAAGTGCGGCGAAAACAAGGTTCTATATTTTAGAAATAGCTCAGTCACCAAGGTTTTTTCTGCTATAAATGGGGTAGTTAAATTTTTTCTGACCTATACTTTTTGTGGTTTTATTCAAGGCGTTTTGTAATATTAAACATTTCTGTGAAATCGGAATTTCAATTGAGTTTACCGTTTTCGAGATATTTACAAAAAATATAAATTTTTATGACGTCACAAACCTCGCCATGTGACCAACATTCTAAGATTTCTATTGGTTGAAAATTACCCTGTTGTCAAGTTGTCTTGTTAATGATTTTATTCGGTTGTCAGAAATACCTGAAGAGGTTATGTACAAATACTGTCACTGTCAGTTCAGTGAAAGAAGAAGAAGAGGAGGTTAAAGAAAATTCTGAAATTAAAAGTTTTATTGATAGGTTTACACATTGAAACACCGTGTGAAACCTAATAAAATGTAATAAATAGGTACCTAATAACTGTCTAAAGCAGAGTTTAATATATTTCATAGAAAAAAGTGGCAAAATAAAGCTGAAAATGAATGAAATAAATTTACAAAAAATAACAGTAAATGTAAGTTAACAATGGTATTTAAGATATTTGTGTATAGTTTTTATAAAACTTGCATCCCTGATGATGAGCATCAAAACCTTTTGTAAGATTAAAAAAATGTATGACAAACTTTTGGACTGTTCGAAGATACTACGCTCTAGAGTACATTTTAAGATATATCTAAAAGAATATAAAGAACTAGGCATTATACTAATGAAATGCATTTACGACAAAATATGATTATAATTATAGGTACTCACTTTATTTGTTTAAAAGCTCCAATGTTCAATGTAACCAACCATTCCACAAGATTCCTCTGCTTTGAAGTCCGTTATTAATAAATCACTTATCTAATATCAATTACAAATAACATAACAATAACATTGATTTTCAATAATCTAAATTTAAAAAAACATAACCCGAAAAAAAGAAACGTCAAAAAATCAATTCTTCTTCTTCTTTTCAACTAAAATTATAGATCAAGTGGTTTTAAAACTAAACTATTATAACGTGGCGCCATCTATCGTAAGAATCTTAAACTAAACACACTGGGAACCATAGAAAAAGCTGGCAACGTTGTCAATAGCCTAGTGACGTAATTAGGAGATTTTTTTTGTAAATATCTCGAAAACGGTAAACTCAATTGAAATTCCGATTTCACAGTAATGTTTAAAATTACAAAACGCCTTGAATAAAACCATAAAAAGTATAGGTCAGAAAAAATTTAACTACCCCATTGGTTTTACATGTTTTAGCATCACGACTGGGCTATACTTGTTTTTTTATTTGTTTTTTTATTTGTTAATTTTCTCCATTTTCCAGTGGTGTTATCGTAAAGAGTGCATCGAAATTGGAGAACGCCCCGAAGCGGTTAATGGAGGATGGGGCGAATGGTCCTCTTGGACGTCGTGTTCCCGGACTTGTGGTATGGGGGTTTCAATAGCAGAAAGAGATTGCAACAATCCTGCACCACAGAATAGGGGGCGCTACTGTTTGGGGGAGAGAAAAAAAACGAAGACATGTAACCCAGAAGTAAGTAACTAAGGTAATATAAATGACGTTTAAATTGTTTTCATTGCATCATTGTGAAAGACGTAAAAAGTTTTAAAGACAAATCTCTAATCACTATACACCAAAACTCGTCGACTCCGCGCATGTGACGTCACGTGCGAACCAGATTCAAATGTTACAAACAGTTTTGCTTAGGCATACGCCATAGAGACCCTTCAAACCCATAGATATTTGTATCGAAATGTGTGGTGTTTCTATAGGGTGTATCGGTACCCACACAGAACACGCTATCCAATAACATCCATGCCTTTTACGATATCCATTGGATATCCAATGGATATCCATACTGGATGTTCAAAAAAATAGCCCCTTATAGGATAAATTTATGTAATGATTAATAAATATGATTTAAATCGTTATTAACCCAATTTCAACAAAGTATCTCTAATATATATCCAATGGATAACTAATGTATGTCCAAAGTATATCCACTGTACATCTAATGTATATCCACTGGATATCCACTGGATATCCAATGGATATCCATACTGGATGTTCAAAAAAAAACAAAAACATTAAAAATATTTTTTTCTTTTTTAAAATAGCCCCTTATAGGATAAATTTATGTAATGATTAATAAATATGATTTAAATCGTTATTAACCCAATTTCAACAAAGTATCTCTAATATATATCCAATGGATAACTAATGTATGTCCAAAGTATATCTACTGTACATCTAATGTATATCCACTGGATATCCACTGGATATCCGGTGGATAACTGATATGGATATCTTGTATATATACTTGTATGTATACATGTGGGATTTTGTGATGGTTTAAACTAGCATATGTAAAAAAAACAACTTTACGGTAAATTGATTTTTTGGCAAGAGCTACGAAATTTTTAATTTTGAAATGTTCACTTTACCCAGATAATAATATTTATATATTAATAATATTATTTCTGTTAATAATATGACTATGACAGTCTGCAATACAATAAAAAATTACTTAAAAAAGTCCCTTTTGTTTATTATTGTATTTCATAGTACTACGCACGCGCTGAATTTGAGAATCTTCAGTGTTGCCGGTTATAAGCAAAATAACTAAACGAAATATATTTCCGTACTTTATTAAGTTTTAATAAATAAATTAAATAAATTTAAAATAATTATTCACCACATTTATGTCAAATAGGTATACTAGGTATACTAATTAATTAAGTATTAAAGATTTAATAATATAACCGCCATTTTGATGAGCTTTCTGAAATGATTTAAACGTCTGACAACACTGCCGGCGAACACAGAAGATAAAGAAGCGTCCTTTTTCTATGGTAGCGTCCGTTAAATATGATGCCATGATTGTTAGGTACATGCAAAGGGTTTTCATGTTTATTTGCTTCATTCCACAGATTGTAAAGGTTCATTCGCCATCATTGCTATTTGTTATATGTTTGTCATAAAGTTTATTGCCAAGTTAGTGTTTTGTGGTTATTTGTTTGAGGTTTATAATAATAATAATAATAATAATAAAAATCTTTATTGTATAAAGTGACATACATAAATACAAAAGGTGGAAGTTCAGTTTTCACTGTTCTTACACTTCAACCCAGCTATAGTGGTAAGTGAATATTTTATTAATTTTCTAATCATAGTTATCATTTTAAATTGTATTGGTCTAAAACTAATACAATTTTAAATTAAATAGGGAGGTATATTTAAGTGCAATTTATAAACTTTCGGTTAGCATTGAAGGTAAAACATTAAAGGTGAATACATGCATGCATTTATATACCGTACCTTTATTTGTAAGCTATACATAGGCTCGAGGGTAACAAATGGGCTGATGGATTGGCCAAATTTTGGGGATCATAAGGAGACAGGTAAAATAGGCCCTAAATGATTAGGCTGATAAAAAGGCAAATGACAGGTGGAGGAGTGATGGCAAGCCAGAGACTTCACTTCTTTAGTTATATGTAGTTTTCTGTTCTTTTTTATGTTTTCATAAAAATAAATATTTAAATTAAAGAATAAGACTTTTATTTTAAAACCCAATGTTATTTATTGAAAAGTAAATATCCATTGATTCACCATATCCAATACAGATGACAACCATATTGCATACAATACTATATCCACTGGGTATCCATTGGATATCCACACTATGTCCAGGAGGGTCGGACATTTATATATCCAATGGTTATCCATTGGATATCCATACAATCTCCATATTGAATACAGATTACAACCTTATTGCATACAATACTATATCCAGTGGATATATGCATGCAAGAGAAAAAATAAAATGAAAATAAAAAAGGGTAACTTTTTACCCTAACCTCATATTTTTTACAGCTTGCATATGTTCATACTAATAATAAAAATTAAAACACAATTGTATCGGAAACCCGCTTCAAAAGTGTCACAAGTAAAAAAAGCAGTTTTAAGATTTTTTTCCTTTGGACACTTTAAAGCAGGCGTGCGTTATTATTACATTTTTATATTTTTGTTTCTTTTCACATTAAAAAAATTAATTAAAGTTAAGTTAATTTCATTAAATTAAAAATATTTTGAAAAATAATAATAAGAAAGTGGGAAATTAATTGTTGCTTAATAGTATATTATGTATCAAGTTTGATAAACGCCATTTTATACACGAATTTAATTTAGGCACGAGCGAGCGAGTGCTTAAATTAATGAGTGTATATAAAAGTTTATAAACGAGGTGCATACTATACTTTTTCTACGAGAAACACTTATAATTATCTTAAAATGATTTAAATCAAAAATTTTTATAGAGCGCCGTCTATGAAACGATAGGGGAATCTGTGTGTCACCGTCAAATGTCAAATTTATATATTTTATAAACACAGATTATAAAGGTTATAAATCGAAATGTATTTCTTGAAAATTGACAGTTTTTCACAGTGAAAGTAAAGAAAATGTTTTGAGCACTTTACAGTAGAGTCCGTGCCCGAATTTAAGTTATAGTTTACTGCCGGCGAAATTAAAAGGTCAGTACAATGTTCATATAAACTTTTCAAATATTGGCGTTGAGAAACTATTTAATAATTTTGTATTTTTGTATTGAGATAATAAAATAATTTTTACATTTGGTATTATTTTACAAGAAAGGCAATTTATTTTAACGATTGTATGACATTTGACAACTCGTCACCTGAGAATTATAGTGTTCTATCTGCATTTTCTTTTTTTTATTCAGGTTAGTCTTGTTTTAACTATTAAAGATGCATATTGTTCTATCTATATATAATTGGGGTAGAAATTGTACAGTTTAAGCCTTAAAATTTACAATTTCTACCCCAATTATATATAGATAGATCAATATCAACTTTAAGACTTAAAACAAGACTAACCTGAATAAAAAAAAGAAAATGCAGATAGAACACTATAATTCTCAGGTGACGAACTGTCAACTAACTTAAAAATAAACTTCAGCCCGTAACTAAAGCGCCATAAAGCCACAACTTGTCAATGTGTATTTAAAAGGTCACTTAGTGTCATGGAAACATGTAGGATAAAGGGCGTTTTAACACTTGTTACACTTAATTATTGCACCCAGGCCGTCCCTATATTTATAAACTTTCAAATATAACGTAAATTTGCAGTGCAAATAGCATTCCAAACCAGTTACCTGCCAGCTTTTGGTTCGCACATGACGTCACACGGTGCGAGAGAGATAGCTATAGTTAATTTAAAAGAAAACGACTTATACGTCATCGATGACGTCATAATTTTGCGCACTGGTACCAATACTAAATGTATAAAACAAAGTCTGTAAATGAATATTTTAATGCATTTTAAACAACTTTAGTTGGCAGTAATTGCAATGTTGTCATGTTTAGATTAAAATTTTGCTTAATAAAATGACACATAGAAAAAGAAATTGACGTTTTAGAATTTCGAAGCTGTCAATTGTGTTCATGGTTGTACATCTTTACTGTACAAAAACTTGTACGCTGAGAAATTTAGACTACGCTTGCCAGAAGCGCTAATGTCGCCAAAATTGTTTTTGTCACCGTTGTCATAATGACAGTTGTCATAATAATTCGACTTGAAAGAATAACTTAAATTTGTGAAGTATTTATAACCTTTTAAGTTTGTATTGTGTATTCATTATTATGGTTTATTCTTGTTCAGGGCCGGGCCTAAGGGGGGTGTAGGGGGGGAGTCGCCCCCCCCAAAGTCTTCGCAGTTGGTTCCAAATCCAAAGTTTGGATTTGGAACCAAATTGGATTCCAAACACGGTTGGCAATATTAATACTATATTTTATTTATTGTGATGGGTTGGTTGGTAGGGTAGGTATACCCAACCAACCGACCCAAATTTGGGTACCAACCAACCCATCACAATAAATAAAATGAAATATAATTTTTAAACTTTACCTACATATTACAAAATTATAATTTTTAATCTATTGTAACCTCCTATAATCGTTACCGTCAAGCGAATGTACAAAGTCGGCACCGCCTCGCGGCTTTGTCTTTGGTTTTGGCGGCGTTTGACTCTTTTTACGCACCGAAATTTTCGGCGTCTTATTTTTCTAGATTATTAATTAGTTGAAGCTTATCTAAGCTAAGTAAAACTATTGTCAATAAATAGGAATTAATTTTTTTTTAATATGGAAAAGAAAGCTAGACCGGGCCGAGTTCTAGTAAAATGCTCATTATGTGGATCTGTGTTAAACAAGGACTACAAAAAAATGCACCAGGAAAATATTCACGGTGGAAATTTGGTTAAAATTAAAATTGTTACTGTTCCGGATAATCCACTTACATTGGCAGCAAATCAAAAAAATAGAGAACGAGAATCAATCCCATCGACTTCGAAAGAGCATGCTAATGGTAGGTAAAGACATTCTTTATCTACACTTTACAACATGATGAAACTACTATAAATTTTTACTATCACTACTAAAGTATCGATAAAAAAATAAGTTGTTTTTTTTTATCGTCTTCACCCCCCCAAAAAAGTGTGCCTCGGTACGGCCCTGTTCTTGTTGTGTACAAAAGTGCAAAGCATAAGCAAGCGATAAGGTATGGCCCGCTTTTTGCCCAAATAACAAAAAATATGTTGATTCTCTAAGCACCAAGTAGGTATTAAAATTTTTATTGTTCTTTTATTTATAAATTTATTTTACCTTATAGAATAATATTATAGGAATAGGAATAGGAATGGGAATGAAATAGTTAGATAAGTTCATGTGATGTAGACTGATTTTAAGTTTTTTTGAATTTGTAACTTTGACAAATAAAATAATTACAAAAATGTAGTTTTATTATGTTTTATTATTCCTCTTTCAACTTTCCTAAAAAAATATTAGAATTATTTATCTAGTGGAGGTAAAAAAAGGGTCAATTTAATATATATTTTTGACTACACCCGCTAAATGGCGCAGTAGTCACGGAATAAAACTTTAATACTAAGTTGCCTATCTAACTAACCCCCGCCCCACATACGTAGATTTAATTAATTTAGGCGGCCAAAAGTAAAAAAAATCAAAATAAATTTAGCAATTACACATTGACTACCACAGGTAGCAAACACTTTTAGGAACAGTACCCTACCCTTTCTATGCGTTGCAGCGCTCTGACTCGCAGGTAGTATGCTAAAAGTTGCTAAAAGTTTGATAGTCGCTGTCACCAGGTTTCACGTATGTTCTCAGCGCAGCGCTCCTATAGGACGCTATAGCGTTACGTCTCTTGCAAAGTAAATATTTTTCTCTCCAAGTCAATTATCAAAGTAAAACTGATGGATTCTAATAATTCAGGTATGTATCTATAAATTGTGATATAATACTTCCTATTTAAATATAGATTCAATTCATTTTTTAATCATTTAAGTACAACAGGTTTTTTATGCAAAATTTTGGCAAATCGAAGATTTCTAAACATTTTTAGCATACTTCAGGGTTCGTCCCTAATATTTTTTTGTTTTAATAAATTTGACATGGTCTTAACATATTATTACAGAAAAAATCAGCCGCGGAATCTCGCAGATGACCACAAAAACGTAAATCAAAGATTTTTAAGGAAAATTTAAAAATAATACACAAAAAATGGACTTGTACTGTTCCTAATCTCACCGATTCAATTGTAATTATTAAATGATGTATGTACACTTATAATAGAAGCTACAATGTAATTAGATAAGTTTATTGCTCCTATTTCAATAACGAAATTAGAATTTGCATTTATGTAATACTAGTATCGCTTCTTTTTTTCATAGTTTTATTAAATAATATTGAATTTTAAAAGGAATATTTTTTTATATTTTAAACTCTATTAAAACCCTATTTCGAACAAGTCTAAACGAAAAAATATTTTTGGCCGCCTAAATTAATTAAATCTACGTATGTGCGCCCACCCAACCTATTCCTTGTTGGGTGGTTGTGTTTTTGAATATTTCGTTTAATTCGTGTATAATTTCGTTTATTTTATTTGTTGTTTGTGTTATTTTATATCGTTTAAGTTTTCATTGTCGTTTTTGTGTTTTTCCTATATTTAAAATGCCGAAGCAATTAAATAGTGGGACTCAAAAGTTGGTATCATGATGCATCCTTAATACGCCATTTTGAGGCATAACGGGATAATAATGGACCTTTGTTTTCTTTAACAGCTGTTAGAGAGGTAAATAGAATTATTATTAATATATATTGGAATATTTAACAAAATATTTGTTGGACACACCAGAGACTAACTTTGGATGGCAAAATTTCTGGGTTCTATAGCTGAAAATGTCTTTAAAAATGACTAAAAACCTACTTTTGGCAGTGCATCATATAGGTTATAAAACTCTGACTTTTCACATTTTGATATTCTAAGGTCCCAAATCTAGGGTCCCTATAGTATTATTCATTTAAACGCCATCTATCGCCCTGTAGTTGCACTACCACTTTCACTTGATGCAATGATTTTAGCATCACATTGACAACCGTGCCCGATCAGCTGATGGATGACGTGTACGTCGTTTCCTTTTAAATTTACTATATAGCATATATAGCGTATCAGCATACCGGTTTTTGTGTATTATATCTCTAATATAAAAATTATTAAAATTACAGCCGTGTCCAGATAATGGAAAGTCTTTCAGGGAGTTGCAGTGTGAAGAGACCAACAAAGAGCCGATGGGTGGAAAATTGTACAACTGGAGATCATATTTTAAAGATGGTAGGTATACTATACCGCCCTGCTAAGCTAAAGACCAAAAAACAAATAATCATTTTAATTGTTAAAAACAATAAAAAGCATCTTTTGTCAACTTAATATTACAGATACGGAAGTGTAGCTGTAAAAGGTCTGTGCGAAAGCACTCGAAACACACTGCGCCCACACCACGGCTACCCGGCACTGATAAGGTCCAAAATAAAAACACGGGGGAGCTAGATAAAAATTTGTCAAATAATATCCAATAATCAATATGAAACTAAAACCCAAGTTATGTGCAATACCACGCAGAATCTGCATCGCAGATATTGGAGTATCATTACAAGGCTTTAAATTATGCAGTGGTCACTCATTACTACGGAAAGCAAAGCACAATCCATGCCTCACAATTAATAATATTCCTAACGGAAATACGATAATCACTACGAAAACCAAAATATTAATATAGCCCAGCTCCATTGAGTTAACAGGAGGCTTGCCCATGATTAAAGACTGGCGCTGCAGCGTCAATTAGCACAAAATAACGCGAATGGATTTTGAATTAAACTTCGTAATTTGACAAAGTCATCTCCGAGATCCTAATTTGCTTAATCAGTTGCGGTTCGGCTTTGCTGTTGATAAATTCTGTCCGAAATCGTGTCACACTGTTAATGGGAATTACGTTAATGTACAACCCGAGCCATATTTAAATTTCGAAGATGCTTTAAAAGATAGAATCGGAGGGGGGATTTGGATGAGAAAAATGGCATCTAAATATGTTGCTTGACAGTTTTTATGATGATTTTGTTTATGGCCACTGTTTGCAGACTTCAAGCCAACTCGCACTTCCGAAAGTAACTTCTGTTGCTCACCAAATACAAAAGATATTTAATTAATATTTTGTTGTGAAAGACTGTGTGCATGTTTGATTTCACATAATTTAATCAAAGTCCAATAGACCATAATTTTTGAAACCAAAAAAAATAAGAGTAGGATGAAACCCATTGGAAAAGGAGAAGAATATAATAAAAATGAAAGGAAAAATAAATTACGGGCGATCTGACTTCGGGAAGTGGGGGGGGGTTTAAGGGTAAAAAATGGTTTATCTCGATTTCCGGCAAAACTACAAGTCCTATGGAAAAAAGTTAAATAGCAAAGTTGTAGGTAATAAAAGGATCTACAACTTTTGTAATTACAATTTTTTTTCATAACCTCAAAATTTATGTGAAAAATTCAAAAAACCAAGTTTTTGGTTTTTTATTTTTATCTTTTTCAAAAAAAAAATTTTTTCCACGAAATTTGGTGAAAACTTACCTTTTTATGTCCCAAATACACTGTAATTTATTTGATTTGAAATATTTATTATTTCGCCTTATTTTGACTTGATCAAAAAAACACCCTAATTTTCAATCGAAAATTCTCGCGTCAAAATATCAGCTTTTTTCAAAAAGTCGGTGTGCTTTTTGTTCGTTGAAATCTCTACTTTCTGATGGTGTAAAAAAAAATATACATTACTATGGTAAATGTTCTCAGAAAATGCAAAAAATATTATAATGAATAACGAAAAAAACTCGAATTCGAAAATTTATTTTAATCATTATGTACAATTTCATCAAAAAAATGTGATTGTTGCAATTTTTTTAGTTAAAAAGTTTATTTATTAAATTCTAATAACATTTATGTCAGAAAATCTCATAAAATATAAAAATACATGTAAATCATACTATTTATAAATATCTATAGATACTTCATTCTGATTACGTTATTCATTATAATATGTTTTGTATTTTCTGAGAACATTTACCATTGTAATGTATATTTTTTTTTACACCATCAGAAAGTAGAGAGTTCATCGAACAAAAAGAACACCGACTTTTTGAAAAAAGCGGATATTTTGACGCGAGAATTTTCGATTGAAAATTAGGGTGCTTTTTTGATATTAATTCAAAATAAGGCGAAATAATAAATATTTCAAATCAAATAAATTACAGTGTATTTGGGACATAAAAAGGTAAGTTTTCACCAAATTTCGTGGAAAAAAATTTTTTTTTGAAAAAGATAAAAATAAAAAACCAAAAACTTGGTTTTTTGAATTTTTCACATAAATTTTGAGGTTATGTGAAAAAATTGTAAATACAAAAGTTGTAGATCCTTTTATTACCTACAACTTTGCTATTTAACTTTTTTCCATGGGACTTGTAGTTTTGCCGGAAATCGAGATAAACCATTTTTTACCCTTAAACCCCCCCCCCTCCCACTTCCCGAACTCAGATCGCCCGTAATTTATTTTTAGTTTAATTTTTATTATATTCCCCTCCTTTTCCAATGGGTTTTATCCTACTGTTAATTTTTTTCTCTTTTTACCATTTTTAAAGGCTTCTGCACTGGTCTACAAGGACCGCACCAAACGGAGCATGCTCAACAAATCGAGGTGCTTTAAATTTTATATTCCATGTGGTAACATGTAAAACTTGGATCTGTTCGTAGGATCTAGAATCCATACCTCAGTTAACTGTTTGATTGTTTCAAGATAAACTAAACCAACAGTCGTATTTAAAGCTTTTTCAAAAATCGCATTTTTTTTTGGAAAATTGGGTTCCCAAGTATAAAATGAATGACTTTTTTGCTTCCGGATGTCAAAATAAAATGTATGGAGATTCATTTTCAACAGCTGTCGAAATCTTTCAAATAAATATTTCTAAGATACCTTCTGGAATTAGCGCTTCGAAAAACGCTTCGAGGGTATACAGGGTCGCCCATCGAACAGTCCAGCAAAATTTACGGCTTTGTATGCTCTCTAAAATGAATTAGTCAAAAATGACTAATTACTACAGTTATTAGTGACTGCTTTTTCACTTATGCCATGGTTAACCATGGATACCATGGTATCCCCAACATTTAATGGAAAATTCTTATGTAAAATTGTCCCCTGAATCCGAACATGTCGTCAAAAGTTATATAAAAGTATATTAAACAATTGATTAAATGTTGGGTATACCATGGTATTCATGGTTAACCATGGCATAAGTGAAAAAGCAGTCACTAATAACTGTAGAAATTCATTTTTAGAGAGTGTGAAAATAATAAATGGCACCCCTATAAAATCCAACTTCTTCAAGAATTGCATTTTGTAAAATAACCTCCTTTTTAATGTTTGCTTCTCAGACGAATGTTTATTTTTTTCCAATGGCATTGTCAATCATCATAATTGTCGTTATCGGTCCGACACGAATCCAAGGGTCCCTCATGAGGTTTATAATAATAATAACAATAATAATTTTATTTTCAAAAAGACATTTACTTATGTTGGATATTGTCAATGGTATAAAAAATATATGGTTATAACTATTATAGGTAATAAATAAATCCAAAACTAGAACAATTGATCAGTACTAACATTCACAATTAATATCTATGGCTAAAAAATTCCTCTAGAGAATAAATTGTTTTTCCAAGGAACATTTTTTTTACATTTTTTTTAAATGAATTCATTGTTTTACATTTTTTAATTTCAAGTGGAACATGATTAGGCAATTTAATTGGCATTTTGATAGGGCTCTGGGCTGTAAGATACTGGTCATGTTTTGGGATTCAAATTTTATTGATATGTCTTAAATTGTATGAGTGAACCTTATAAATTTACTTAAATTTTTCATCAATCAGAGCTGGCCAAGTACTGAGTACTTTTACTCGTATTTCAAATACGAGTAAAAAAGTACGAGTACTTTTTTACTCATAAGTATTTTTCATTTGAAATACTTAATACTCGTACTTACAAACCAAATTCAATGTACTCGTAAAAAATACTCGTGGAATTCACGAGTTAAATATACGAGTATTTCCGTTTATTATATCGATGACTTTTTGCCAAAATTCATCAAAACATTATATAAACTATTTAAGAATTGTTATTTTTATTTATTATTTTATGTTCATTGTACATTGCACAAGGACACTACTGGTAATCAGAGCTGGTCAAGTACTGAGTACTTTTACTCGTATTTCAATTACGAGTAAAAAAGTACGAGGACTTTTTTACTCATAAGTATATTTCATTTATAATACAAACCAAATTCAATGTACACGTAAAAAATACTCGTGGAATTCACGAGTTATATATACGAGTATTTTCGTTTATTATATCGATGACTTTTTGCCAAAAATCATCAAAACATTTTAATATATTATAAACTATTTAAGAATTGTTATTTTTATTTATTAGGGTGATCCCCTATAATGTCATCCCCTTTAACTTTTTTATTTTAAGTGTCACAAAAAAAGTGTGGTACCTATGTAGGTACTAAAAATACTTTTTTTCTACGTATAAAAAAATGGAAAATTGATCAATATACAGGGAAACAACAAAAAGTTAATTTTTTTCAATGGATCACCCTATATATGAATTTATTTTTCGATTCCTTGTAAAATTCTGAGCATAATTCATATAACAAACCATATACCTAATTTCAACCATTCGAAATGTTATCATTAAATGTTTTTTTAAACTGTTAGAAGCCTCAGTATACCAACATTTTTATTGAAAATAAATTACTATTGTGACATTATGTCAATTTGTCTTGTTAAATAAGTAAAAATGGCGTACTCAGACAAAGAAAGACTTATTATCTTAAAAATAATTTAAATATTTCAGAAACGGTTGAATTTAGATATATGGTTTGTTTTATGAATTATGCTCAGAATTTTACAAGGAATCGAAAAATAAATTCATATATAGGGTGATCCATTGAAAAAAACTAAACTTTTTGTTTTTCCGTGTATACTGATCAATTTTCCAATTTTCTTTATACGTAGAAAAAAAGTATTTTTTGGTACCTACATAACCACACTTTTAATTTTTTTGGGACATTTAAAATAAAAAAGTTGAACCCTGTACCCAATGTTTAAAATAAATAATTTTATAAATTTGTATTTGTATTTTTATAGCTCATTACCAAAGTATGTATGATGTATAAAGAATAATCAATTATATTAACTAACATTTTTTTTCAAAAGTACTCGTACTCCTTACTCGTGTACCGTGCAAATGTACTTACGAGTAAAATACTTAGGAGTAAATATTTTAAGTACTCGTACTTAAAATTTTACGAATACTTTTTTTAGTACTTATGCCCAGCTCTGCCACTGGTAACTTTATTAGAGTTACCCCAGCAAACAATGCCATAACTCAGTAGAGAATTAATGTGGGCATAGTAAAAACTTTTTATTAGGTTTTCAATGTGGACATGCCACCTAAGCGAGCAGTCAACATGGACTTTCAATGATTTAACTACTCATTAAATACTGCAATAATGCAAAAGTGTATAGATTTTTAAAAATTGTAATATTTTGTTTTTCTTGTTAAAATAACACATTTCCATGCTCTATTTTAAAAATATTGATTTAATTTGGTGAAAGGAAAGAAGCACGAATATTTAATTTAAAAAATCAGAGATATTTCCTCTAAAAATATTTGGTTAAATTTGTTCAAAACTGCGTATAATCACAAGTAGACTTAGTTTATGAACGAAGGTATTTTATTGCATAAAAATGCAAATGTAGGTAGCAGCGCTGCAGCAGTGGTTAGCGGGAAGTTTTATTTTAACAACTTTTCAACTCTTTGCCAGCCGAATGCAAACTAAACATTATTTGAGCCACGTTTAATTCTCATTTATATTGTAATACCCTTCAAAATCCATTTGTGCTCGTATGCACCAACTGCGAATCATTGCGAATTGGTTTTTATACATATTAGGCATCTGCCTAATTAAATCGACGGCCTCTTTATCATCGAATATGAGTGGTGTTGTATATAATTTAATTATGCATGAAACTGTTTACAGCTTGGTTCACACTTTTAAACATTTCCATTATGGTATAATAATTATATGTCCACTCTCTTTTGGTGTCTAAGCTTTGCACAAACTTAAAAATTCATTAATGGCCACTTGCACCGTTTTCTCTAACTAATCAAGCTGACAAGTTAAAAGGTAACAGGAGATTAGTGTCCAAAATCTTGCATCGTGATTTTTTTACTATGGTTTAAAACTTAACTAGTGATCTAGGGAATTTGACTAAAAAATGGAAAAGATTGGTGCTAATAACTAACTTCACACTTATTTGTGATGCAAATATATTTTGAAGTTAAGAGTTCGATTCTTTATAATCTGTGGTTCGATTCTTCATCATCTGTGGTTCGATTCATTTCATGTACGACCGATTCAGTTGATAATAATATGGATACAGATCGTTAAAAAAGGGGCGCTTCTCAAATTTTTCAGGAAATGAAAAAAATCATTTAATTAATCTTGTACAAGGGTATCATTAAAAACCAAGAGACAGATAGGGCTAAAACAATATGAGCAGGAAATAAACAATACAAAGGATGAAAAAGAAATGACTCTTTCGGATTTAAAAATTTTAGAAGAAAAGAAAAACTTAATATATTATAATAATAAACAAGAAGTGACTATTTATTTTATTTTAATTTTAAATAAGTATAAATTAATTAAAACATTAAAAATATTATTCACAATAAATTTTATAAATTCGCAAATAATCTTGTAATAATTGATTTTGAAACATAATGAGATCTTGTGGATGAGTAACAACAGGGTGCTCCAGTTCATGGCATTAATATCATCAGGCAATAGCGGCTCTGGTTTATTCATGTCTCTAGCAATATTATGTAGTACAGCTACAGCTGGAATAATGGACAAAACTGTATCTAGTTTTAATCTTATCGCTTAAGCCATATACCAACACTGGAAACCTTATTTTCCAAATTCCAAATAGTCTTTCTATTATATTTCTGGTTCTTAGTAGTGACTCATTATAGAGTTGCTGACCTCTATACCTCTATAGCTATATTTATTGGATTTGCTAAAGATGTCAATAAATAATATCTTTGAAAAAAGTGGATTAAAGTAATTTAAAACACCGAAATTGGGGGTTTATTTTAACAGTACTTTAGAGGTATTTAAACAAGGAATAATTTAGGGTGCAAGCCAGTTAAAAAATAAACCTGTGTTAAAAATAAAACCACTGTTAAACTTACGGTGCAAGTGGCCATAAGAAATGTGTAACATAATAAAGGGTTTTCATTAAGAGTGATAGATCATTGATCAACAATAGCGTTGTTATTTTAAAAGATCCTGCTGTCATTTTTTGATGTACGTATGATACAAAGCTTGTCATTTTATATTGGAGAGACCGCGACAAACGTTCTTATTCGACGAATAATAATAATAATAATAATAAATTTATTTTTCACTTTTAAAAACAAAAATTAAGGTATAATACCTTTTAAATTATAGCCTAAAATAAAATAAACTAATTTTACAAAAATGGGAACATTTCTAGGGTTTTCAACACTTCCCCAGTTAATCAAATAAAGGGTACCTTCATAAATATTATTGCATACAAAAACTAAACGTTATATTAATACAAGAAAACAAATAAAAAAATGAAACAAGAATATGAAGACGAATAAAACGAATCCAATTGTTTCAGCTCAAAAATGATAACTAGTACATTCTAATTATCCCGCAAAAAAAATAAAAAGTTCCTTCTTATATTTTACGTAATTTAGGGTTTTAAAATGATTAGCTAAACAGGCAATCGTAAAACTAAATGACCTTTCAAATAATGTTGATCTATGATACGGAATTGTTATTAAATCTTTTCTTCCAATATTATGGATATGGATATCTTCCCGAAAAGTAATTTTATCTTAGAGATATAAATAGAGATATCATAGAGTGTCCATGTTTAGCCAGTTGAAGTCTGCAAGTTTCTAAGAAATGTGATTTCTTATACTAATTCCAAATATATGCCTCATGCAAGAATTCTGCCTACGTTGAATTCTACCCTTAGTTGCCAGATTCAAAGACGAATAATAAACTAATGCACAATAAGAATTTTTTATTTTATTTTAATAGATAAGTAATTTTTATGTGGATATAACATTTTTAGAAATTTTTATGAGCGCTGTATATATTTGGAAATCTGCATTCTAAATCTTAACGTTTGATCAAAGATAAGACCTAGTTTAACTGCGTTTTGAACAATTTGTATATGAACATTTACTTCCAAACAACAGCACCCTTGATTTTCCAGGATTTAAGAACAAGGAATGCTTTTTTGCCATCTGGTTTATAGAATTGAGGTCCATTAAAATTTTTTGCAAAGCTTCTTCGACCTTATCCTCTCCAAAAGAAAGGTACACCGTACCTGCATACATGTGATGGTTGGAGTGTGTTATATAATTATGAAAATTATATAACTATATATAATTATATTCTAATCTAAAAGTAAAACAAAGTCGTTACCTCTTTTGCACCTTGTTCAATTCCACTTCAACACTCTTATTGAAAAACCATTTACAACCAATTCCAAGTAAGTAACGTCTATTTACTTTTCCAGCCCAAATAAAACGTTCTTGTTGTACAGTAAGCTAAATAGTATTTTTGTCTAAAACAATTGTGTGTGCGAATCCATTAAATAACATAATTTGTGAATATAATTGACAAAAAAACTTGTTTAAGATGAGCCGTGTGCTTTGTACTGCCAGAACGACGTAAACCAATTCTCGAAAAGAGCACCAAGGGTTCAAGATGGCACGAAATGTAGAGGTGGTTCCAAAGACATCTGTGTAGCTGGGGTATGCGTGGTAGGACATTTAAATGTGCATTTATATCATTACCTTCTTATAAGTTTTTCTTTGTAGATAGTGGGATGCGATTTAAAATTAAACTCAAATTCTGTCGAAGACGTTTGCGGCATTTGCAACGGGGATGGAACCCAGTGTAAAATAGTCGATGAAACTTATGCTGATAAGGGAGCTCGAGGTAACTCTATTATAACATTCTTAATCGATTATTTATTTGTAATATCAGAACTATTTAAACGTGAAATTACATTATACTACCCATAATACATCTCCATAGTTAACTGGTTGCATGCAGCATTTTAATTTTAAAAATTCTTTTAAATGGTTTTAAAAAAATTAAATACTATTATTTTGGTTAAATAATGTTTTTTTAAATGATTTAAACCCTCGTAAATATGAGAAAATAATCACACAAGTATCAATATTTGTTTTAGAAGCTTCCCTAAAAAGCCATGTTTGTATTATATAAATTCAGTGCAGTGCAGTTAATATATTACCTATAGGTTAATTGAAAAAAGTCTCATATAATAATAATAATAATAATAATATCTTTATTCCCCGACAGAAATGGTATTCCAATTACAAGATAATTTTAATAATACAGCAAATATAAATAAATACTAACGTGAATACGATACATTTATAAATAAATACCTATACAAATATACATCATTCAAAATAAGTTGCAATATCACATTAATTGCATATTTTATTAAAGTTACAACTCATTACAAATACTGGAGATTTTAAAAGAACATTGGTTTTGGCATATGTGTTTTAGAAAGTTAAAATAGATCTAGCATTAATTCGTGGTAAGTAAATGTTAAAGAGTGATATCAAAAAGGTACTGTCTATTTCATTACTAAATAGCCTGTATGGAAATTTAAGACTAACTAAAATTTTTCTACATTGCAAGGACCTAAAATTAAATCTATTCAACAGTACCTCTAGCAGGATAAATATTATCAAGTCAAAAAGCTAACATTTTCAAAAATCGTCTTTGTACTCTTTCTAGTTAATTAGAGTAGGTATTATGGTTGTTACGAACCAATAAATAATACAAAACTTTTAATTCACCCTCACAATTCATTAACTGAGTATTTCTGTTAATAAAACCAATTATTTTAAAAACAGATTTCACAATACTAGTGATGTGGTCTGAAAATGATAATTTGGTATCAAAATACACTCCCAGGTCTCTGGTACCTTGATATCGTCATTAAACCCGAGTCAAAATTTAGATCGTAATTTAAACCTAATAAATCTGAACAATTTCCGTCTTGAACGGTTTTATTTTCGCCTAAAGATAACCAACTTTTAACCTAAAACGTGGCAGATAAGTCCCTTTTCCCGATTTTTCGGTTCTAATTACGTTTAAATTTGAACCAAATTATGACCGTTTACAACCTACAGTCCAAAAAAGCCCAGGCCACTGCGCATGTCGATTAATAAAAGCGCGACAATATTTGATTTTTTAAAAATATATCGCGCCTGAAAAAACATCCATTTGCATTTTAACCAGATAGAACTTTGATGAAAGTATTTCCTAATATTTTTCAGTATAATTAAGTATTAAAATAATAATATTAAGAAATGCATACTTTCATAAAAGTTTTATCTGGTATTAAAATGTTTTTTCTTCTCCTGTAAAATTTGTTAAAATGCGTGTAAAGGTTCTTGCAGGCGCAGCGAAAATATATAAATAATTTTAGGTACCTATAATTATTTATATGTAGTAAAGAAAAACGAAAATTAATGAAATTTACGATATATTTAATAAATTTAAATTTTAATTATTTTAGTTCAGCTAAAGAAAAGTTAATAGCTTGAGTGCAGTCATTAAATTCAGTAGAAGTATAGGTAGAGTGGAATACCTGTAAATCAAACCGAACTTGAATAAAAATTTTGCATTTATAGAAATTTTATTTATAAATTGCATTTTTAATTTTACTGCAAATAATGAATGTAAAGAATTCGTCCATTTATTTTAGAAATTTAAATTATTTGTATAAAAATATATATAGCTATAGGTAAACAAAATAATTATCAATTTTTGAAATAAAATGATTTACTTGGTTTATAATCCGACCAAAAATTTTATTAGAGGTTTAAATCGGTTCAAATGAAGATTAATTCGGTTGTTCTAGTGCTAAATTGAAGTTAGCAAGCTAAACAGGTTTTAAATCAGTTTTCGTAGGTCAAAGTAGGTTTAAATTACGATTTAAATTTTGACTCGGGTTGTGTACTCAAAAATAATTGGACATTTTTTTAAAGTAAAGGTGCACACCTAACATTTGCCGATATTTAAGAAAAGTCTATTGAGTATGCACCATTCATTTACTAAGTTCAGCTGATTTTGTAGGTATATACACTGTATATATTAGGGTGTGCCAAAAAAGTCGATATTTTTTTTTCTTGCTCTCCACCCAAAATATTGTAGAATATGTCCGAACAAATATCCTGTTAAAAGCGGAGCTCATAATTTCAATTTTAAGAGGTCCTCCATCGAATCTGAAGTTTTGCCGCTTAAATAACACAGAAAACTGACTTTTTTACCTTATTTATTCTTGCAACCTAGGAAGAAATTTTTTGTTCATAAAATCCATGACCAAATCTTACAAAGCATTAAATTTGGACGAAAAAATCTTAATAATTTCTATTTTCATTATTTGATTTTTTACAGAGCTTTAAATTTAAAATTTTACGTTTTTTGCCTTTTTCAGCTAAACTATTGAAGTTAGACGAAAAAGTCAAATGGCAATTTTTTAGCTTGTCTGATGAACCACAAAAAAGTTTAGGGCGAATTTTTTGTATCGTCAATATTCTAAAAGTTACAGACGTATAAAGTCATCATTTTTGTATTATTAACTTTAAATTTAAAGCTCTGTAAAAAATCAAATAATGAAAATAGAAATTCGGCTTAATAAGATTTTTTTGTCCAAATTTAATGCTTTGTAAGAATTAGTCATGGATTTTATGAAAAAAAAATTCTTCCTAGGTTGCAAGAATAAATAAGGTAAAAAAGTCAGTTTTCTGTGTTATTTAAGCGGCAAAACTTCAAATTCGATGGAGGACCTCTTAAAATTGAAATTATGAGCTCCGCTTTTAACAGAATATTTGTTCGGACATATTCTAAGATATTTTGGGTGGAGAGCAAGCAAAAAAAAATATCGAGTTTTTTTGGCACACCCTAGTATATATTTTAGCGGGGTACTCGGAGTACTCTGGATCTCGGAATGATGACTTATCGTCGATGAGTCATCGCCGGTGAGTCAGTGCTCGAGTGATCGAGAGCGGTCCGAAGCTCGCTGGAACATTCGGGAATGCACTTAGACACTGAATAAATAAGAAACAGCGCAGCATGGAGCAGTCAGTCAAGCTTTGGTACTCGCGACGAAATAAATAAATATACGTGCAAATAAATAGACTCTTGTACAGTAGTGATATATAAATAATTAGTAGTTAAGTGTTTAGTTAGTTTTATAGTTTCTTCATTAAATAACCATTGCGTGTTTTATTCACACTACGAACAGTAAAAACCTTATCGATTATAATAAACATTTTTAACGTTTTTAAGGACTTATCATTAGTCATTTTACATGAAAACGTCCAAACGGTGATTGCTATTAAAAAATCGAAAAAATTAAAAAGTGGGAGTTTTTCGCCTTCCCCAATTTATTATTAAAGGCATTTTAGTTATGTTCCTGTTAAGGAAAGAAATAATATTTAAACGTTTACCTCTTAAATTTAAGTATTAAAAATAAAATGTATGCTCGGCGCCTGGTCTATAATGTACTATTTTATCAATTTGACATTAAAATTTATAGACTACAAAAAGATCGTCACAATACCCGCTGGATCCAGAAAAATTGTCATAGACGAATTAGGACCGTCAGAGAACACCATTGCTATTTCCGACAAGACTGAAAAGAACTATTACCTGAATGCAAATCAGTAAGAAAAATTTGTTTTTTTGTAACTTTTTAATTGATTAAATTGTGGATTTTTAGCAACGAAGAACTGGATGGTGTCAAACATTTTGGAAAAATCGAAGGAATTTATACCCATACTGAACCTGGTAGAGAAAATTTGGTTATAAATGGACCCATCACAGATGACCTTATTTTCTGGGTAAGATGTTTTATTTTATTAGTAGCAGCGCTATCTTGAATCATGAACAAAATATCGATTTGTATTTAAAAAAAAAGCGATTGAAGCAAAATACATTACTTCTTTTTTTATTGGTAAAAATGTATCGTACAGCAAGTGAAAAAAGTGGTTTCGGCGGTTAAAGAAGAAGTGTTTAACCTCAATGATGAAAAGTGTCAAGGACCACCAAAAAAACTCAACTGGCATTCGCTAATGCATTCAAAGTGATGCATCAAGCTATTTTTCATCGTTGAGAGAAGCTAGTAATGTTTCTTAAGACCCATTACTCTCCTTTCCTTCGAATTATATTATTTTATCGATATGAAATTCGACATTTACCCGAAAAATAACTTTTTATGGATTGGGTACAGGTATCCCGAACCTCCTTAATTAGTATACTAAATAGCGATAGGTACCAACTTTATTTTATTAAATTGGATTTAAAAAAGAGCCAATTTTATATATTTTTTTTATTACAAAAGGCACCAAATAAATATTTAACTAACTTATTCATTAGTTTATGGAAAACGGAAAAAAGATATCGATTTGAAATTGTATATAGCAATTATAATGCAATGTATTAGAAATAAAAAATAAGCGGTTTTTTCACATTTTTTGTATGGTAGTTTCGTTTCGAAATAAGAAAGTTATGAGTATTTAAAGCGATAAAAAAGTCAGGACACCCTGTATAAATTTTTGAAAAAAATTAAATATCTCAAAAACTGTTAATAGTCAAATTTTAGTATTTTTGGAATTTTACGTAAAATTTAAGAATGCAAAAATATTTATATGGTTTCATTTGAAAAACCAAAGTTAACCGGAAGTGATAACGCATGGAAAATAATTTTAAAAAATAGTTCACATTGCGTTATGTTGTTGAGAGTTGGTTTCTATGGTAACGGTTTTCGCTTTTGACAATGGCAGTGACAATTCTATATGCAATGATATTTAAAATCTAAAAGTAATTTGTCCACTACAAAGAAAACCTTATTAAAAAAAGGATGAGAACAAAAAAAAAAAGCGACAGAAATCATGCATTATGTTAAATGCAGCGAAAGTCTAAAGAGAAGAGCAGAAAACAAACAGAGGAAAATCATAGAAGGTAAAGGGATTGCTTTTTATAATTTACTTTAAAAACGAAATTATGGTAGTCACCAAATAAATCAAACCAAATATATTTAGGGATATATTCCTAGATAATCATATATTATATCACGAGAACTATGAATTTAATCGGTTAAACTAGGCTTAGTAGTTTTTTGTTTGGTTTTTGTTGGAAAATGTTGAATGCAAAATAATTTAATAAAATCACGAGACCGCGTAGCGGTCGAGGGGTTTTATTTTTAATTATTTTGCATGAAACTTACTGAGCATAGTTTGACAGATTAAATTTATAGGTTGAGTGATATACGTCTAGATTATTTCTCGAATTAAAGGAAACTATTTGACAATTCATAAAATCTGACGTATGTGTCAAAATTTATAAATATTTTTTTAAAGAAAATTCCATTAATTTAAGGTATGTAATAAGTAATAATTGATATTTCGTAAACTAGATAACTTATTTTTTATTGTTTTTTAAAAAACGTTTGTTAAAACTTGTAAATAACACCATAAATCGTAAACAAAAATCCAATATGGAGGCTAAAATTTAATCGTAAGTAATATCATAAGGGCATTTAATTTTTCCGAAAAGAATCGAAAAAACACGTTGCTAAGTAATATTTTAACAAAAAGCATGAGTGCTGGTGGCAACAAAAATCCGAGTCGAAGAGGAGGATTTTTGCACCTGCACGAATGCATTTTGTTAAAAAATATTACTTAGCATTGTGTTTTTTTATTTTTTTCACAGGAAAAATTAGATGCCCGAATGGTATTTGACAAGACTATTTTATGAGTAACAGTTAACAATTAAAATATAAATTGCAATTTTTGGTGACAATAGCTGTCACGTTTTGCCGCGAGTAAACTTGAAAAAACTGCTGACAGGTGCTGTCACACAGTTTTTTCACCTAGAAACCATTTGTAATTCAAAATTGCGCCTTTGGTGGAAATAGTCGCTGTTAAATAGTTCTAGTGATTTAATCGCTTATTTAAACGAAATTTATTCGAAAATTCAAGGCTTTTGATTGGTTCATATTATAATGAGGGAAATAATCACGTGTAATGTCAACATTATCGTTTATTATTGGCAAACTGTGCGGTGAAAGTTAACATAAATTTAAATGGTACTACAGGCATAAGTACATACATACGAGAAAAAAAATCATTACTTTTTCAATGTCACGTTATAACGATATATCATATCATATATATATCGATATATTATATCATATATGATATGATTAATTATAATTATAATTATAAAGACATAGGCTGTATAAGAGATGTATGTAATTAACATATAACATATCAATAAGAAATCGATGATTTTCTTTCTCTTATAAGCACTTAAACCTGTAGAATAGGCATATTAATTTTTGTTAACAGTTTTGCAATAATAAACGATGTCCATGAGGTCTTAAATAATTTTTACTCGGAAACCAATCAAAATTTTGTAAATGTCTTTTAAGTAGTCTCCAATTCTCCAATATCGTGCCTGAACCTCCTTAAAACAAAAAAGGCCCACAATTATTTGCAGACCCTATAGTTCTTAAGTTCGATATTATTGATGATCATTTTTGGCAATAATTTACTGAGTGTATCATCAAATTCCTTTGTATGTACTATAAGCGGTAATCAACAAATCCTATTTGAGTGCGCAAATCTACATACATACAAATTTATCTGTTCATTAATTGATGCATAAAACATTTGTCACTTTACATCTTGGATTCATACGGGCTTACAAAAGCGTACCTATGGTTTATTAATATTTATTACCATATAGGGTGTCCCACTATTAATTGAAAATACTTTGTTATAAATGTTAAAATGAAAAAAGAACACTTTTGTGTTTAGCTTTTTACCTATTCCACACGGTGTGTGCCTGAACGAAGTTTAAGTCACGTAAAAATGCCGCCAAAAACTGATTGCAGTTTCTTGTTAGGGACCCTTTGGTGACTTTAAAATAATATTTACCAAAATCCTAGCTTTCAAAATTTTTTGAAAATCATGTTTTTTTTTTAAATTTTTGTTTATTTCAAAGTCTACCTTTGACAGAGTACACATTTGTACACCGATTTTTATAAAATTAGAGTATATTATTGGGGAGACTTAAAGAATACTTTTTAATACTGTTCACATCATTTGATTTATACAGGGTGAGCCAAAAATCACTTATTTTTAATAAAGCAAAAGCGTAAATTCATGATTTTGGCATAACACGCAAAAAAGATTTATCCCCATTTTTTTTTTTAGATATTTCTACGTTTATCAGGGTACAAAATGGTATTCGTATTAACCTTTTATAAAAAAATAGATTTTTAATAAAATTAAATAAAATAGAGCTTAGAGAATATTTAAAATGTTGTTTAATTTAGGCTTTTTAGTAGTTTTCAATTTTGAACGAAAAACTGGTTGAAGTTTTTTGATCGGCACTCTTTGAATATTTAAAAACGATATTTACCAAAATTCTAACAGTTTTTTTTTAATTTGTTAAAAAATCACTTTTTTTTAATTTAAATATCTTTTTTGCGTGTTATGCCAAAACCATGAAGTTACGCTTTTGCGATTTTTGGCTAACCCTGTCAAAGGTAGACATTGAAATAAACAAAAATTTAAAAAAAAATCATTAATTTTCAAAAAATTTTGAAAAGAGGAGCAGCTAGGATTTTGCTAAATATCATTTTTAAGTCACCGAAGGGTCCCGAACAAGAAACTGCAATCAGTATTTGGCGGCATTTTTATGTGACTTAAACTTCGTTTAGGCACACCTTGTACAAGTGTACTTTTACTACAGTTCTACACAATAAAATGGAAAATTAAAATCCACGCTCAAACCGCACCAACTTACTACAGCGTTGATAGTCGACAGAACAGAGGCTAAATTTTTATAGCCTGTGAAGCTCCTACTTACCAGCAAGTGGCGTAAACTATTTACCTACTAATATTTATATATCAGGTAAGTTCGCTGCTTGTGGCGAGAGAACTAGAGCTTGGGCTTGCTCTAATTGGTGGTTTTATATCAGATGACTAAAGATGTGGTGGGTGGCAGTTCGTGTTGCAGTGTGTGTTTTTGTTTTGATTCAGATTAAATTATTTAAAACTGTTGTCTGATCTTTTATGGTTTTCGTCTCGATTAGTAAAATTTATTATTTTATGATTGTGGTGCACGGCTATGGCGCGCCGTTTGATTTTTTATTCAGGAATTATTTATTTCTCCATTAAATTTCACATATCTCTAAAATATTTAAAAATATCAAATGAAAACTTTAATTTATTGCATTAAAAATATCATAGGACAAATTAATAAATCGAAATGTTAAAGTGATATTTTTAATTCGTTGAATAACAAATATCATAGGACAAATTTATAATTGGATTAACAATTCCATAAGAGAAATTTATAATTCAAATTATAAATATAATGGCAGAAGTTTTTAAATGAATTAAAAATATCATAGGAGAAATTTATAATTCGAATTAAATATCATGGCAGAAATTTTTAAATGAATTGAAAATATCATAGGAGATATATTTAATTCGATTTAAAAATATCATAGGAGAAATGTATTATTCAAATTAAAAATATCATAGGAGAAATTTTTAAATGAATAAAAAATATCATAGCAGATATTTTTAATTCGAATTAAAAATATCATAGGAGAAATTTATAATTCAAATTAAAAATATCAAATGAGATATTTTTAATTCGAATTAAAAATATCATAGGAGATATTTGTAATTCTATTTAAAAATATCATGGGAGAAATTTTGAAATGAATTAAAATTATCATAGGAGAAATTAATAATTTGAATTAAAAATATCATAGAAGATATTTTTAATAAGATTAATTATTATAAAATGACAAATAAAACATATTTTTAATTCAATGTCAAATTTTTTAATTCTCATTGAACTGGGTTGTAAAAAACGCACTATATGCGGTTTAGTTCATTAGAACTACTTGCAACTGTTAAGCCTCATTTATAGATTGCCATTTTTCCTTCCTTCCGTAAAAGATAATCAATACGAAAACCGTAGTGCTGTTTATAGATTTCCGTACCCTAATCTATTAACAGGGTTTCGTATTGTTCGTCTTTTACGGGAGGAAGGAGGGAAGGAAGGCTTTAAGGCAGATTTAAATATTGCCTTCCTTCCATGGTACCATGCTTCCTTCCTTCCTCCCGTAAAATATGAACAATACGAAAACTGTAGTACTATTTATAGATTCCGTACCCTAATTTATAAACATCACTACGGTTTTTGTATTGTTCATATTTTACGGAAGGAAGGGAGGAAGGAAGGAAGGCAATATTTAAATCAGGCTTTAAGCTTCCGATATCAATGAGCGCAGTCCTGTAATAAATTTATTAATAACTGTTTCTTGTTATTAGCGTTATTATAACACATTTACTTTATTAATGCATTTATCTTAATTATACATATTTTTTTAACCGGTAGTTCAAATATATTTACCATCTTGTGAAAATTAACTACATTTAATTTTTGACAGATGAATAAATTTTTTCCCGCGTTTTTACAAACTGGTAAAGATATTTGAACTACCGGTTACAAAAATATTTATAATTAAAATAAATGCACTAATAATGCTAATGTGTGATAATAATTATAATAATAAGATAGGTTAATAGGTATCTATGTACCTATTAATAAATTTATAGCAGGAGTTTGTTCATATTTGAAGCTCAACAGTTGCCAAGTTAGCGGCAACTGTAGTTCAAATGCAAACACCGCATATAGTGCGTTTTTTAGTTCAGTAAGAATGAAAATATGACATTACTTAAAAATATGCTTTATTTTATAAGTAATCAAATAATTATTATCTTCTATGATATTTTTAATTCGAATTATACATTTCTCCTATGATATTTTTAATTCGAATTATTAATTTCTCCTATGATAATTTTAATTCATTTCAAAATTTCTCCCATGATATTTTTAAATAGAAATACAAATATCTCCTATGATATTTTTAATTCGAATTAAAAATATCTCATTTGATATTTTTAATTTGAATTATAAATTTCTCCTATGATATTTTTAATTCGAATTAAAAATATCTGCTATGATATTTTTTATTCATTTAAAAATTTCTCCTATGATATTTTTAATTTGAATAATAAGTTTCTCCTATGATATTTTTAATTCGAATTAAATATATCTCCTATGATATTTTTAATTCATTTAAAAATTTCTCTTATGATATTTTTAATTCGAATTATACATTTCTCTCATATTTTTTTAATTTGTTTAGGAATTTTTACCATAATATTTTTAATTTAAATTATAAATTTCTCATATGATGTTGCTTATTCGAATTCTAAATTTGTCCCATGATATTTTTTAATCAAGGAATTAAAAATATCACTTTAACATTAAAATTTACCGCATTTTTTAATTTGTTCTATGATATTTTTAATGCAATGAATTAAATTTCTGACTTGGTATCTTTTATTTATAAATAAATATCACATTTGCAACTTTAATTTGGGATTTCTGAAATTGATTTAGAGATATCTAAAATTAATTTTACATATCTGAAATTAATTTCACATATCTGAAATTGATTTAGAGATATCTGAAATTAATTTTACATATCTGAAATTGATTTAGAGATATGTGAAATTCAATGCAGAAATAAATAATTCCTGAATAAAAAATCAAACGGCGCGCCATACACGGCGGTACATACGCGCTCCACAGGTAGAATTATCAGTTTTTATTAAGCAATTGCTTAATAAAAACTGACTTGTTAACAAGTCGTTTTTGGTTTCAATTAAGGTTAGGTTTTCATAAGATTTTTTTTGTTAAATATTTCTGTTTTTTTAAATGAATCCTTGTCATGATATTATTGTCTTAATAATTGAAACGCCTTTATAAACAAAACTTATTCAGTTGGCATTGTATTTTATTAGGCCGCGACAAAAACAATTGGGGTTCAGGGGGTGAGTATTCCGATTGCTCTGACATTTTATTTGTTTTATATGTAGGTAGGTATATATATTTTTATTCATCCATATAAATATATTTTTAAGATCAAGATCTATATTTTAAAGTATAAAAACCAATTTATGTTTTTAAGTTTCGCAATTTTTAAGTTTCGCAACGTCTTAAGATTGCTTTGATGTTTTTTTTTGTTTTGATTTTTTTGTTTATTATATTTTATTTATAATGGTTTAGTAGGGCTAGGCTTTAGTAGGGCTAGTCTCGTCTTTGCACTTGAAGTGTGAAGACGCCCACAGATCGTTAACGAGATCCCTCCTAAGCAGTTTAAACGATACAAACGCAAGTACCAAAAAAGAATCTAATAATCCGGCAATATCGGTAATCGGATACAAGCGATTCAAAAACCAATAAAACAAATATTAAAAATTAATAAATAAAAAAACAATAATTGCAAAAAGTGTGAAAAGTGCAAAAAGTGCGAAAAGTGCGGGTGGCCCCCGGTAAAGCCATAAAAGTGTGCGAGTGAATAAGTGATTAAGGCTAGGCCACATCGATAAGCCAACCGGGCTACCTGGACACCTGAGATCGCCACAATCAACGCGTGCCAAAATCTTGCAGGCGTGGTCAAGGAACAACGGACAGCCCGTTAAAGTCAAAGCATCAGGATTACAAGCAAGCCTAATTAATCCAGCTTAGTAATTTTTCTAATTGCATGTCTTAATAACAATACCAATTCTATTCTAAAAAATCTAAACTTAAAACGTAATATACTTCGCAACGTAAATTTCAAGTACCCCAGGCACCAGAAAATAAACAGACGCCTATAGGGACAGACAACCCATAAATCAATACATAAACAAACATCACAGCATCACAGAAGATAAGAAGATCGACCCTCAGCCAAGGCTATTGTCAGGCCGTATTTCAAAATATGCCGTGCTTTATCTATTTTGTATAAGTATTAATATTTATAATAGTATTTTTAAACTAAATTTGAAAAAAAAGTAAGAATGCAAAGATATAAATTAAATGATAAACGGTATCATACACTAATTTAACAATAAAATAAATAAAGAATATACAAGGTCGATAGTCGGTAGGTACTCGGCATGAGGGTTGGAATATCCACGAAGGCAGAGGGCACATACGGCGGGTCGTGGCCATAGGGCCGTATTCCAATTACGTACACTTCAGGGCCGGCTTTACCTATTTTGTATATTAATATTTATATTTTTATTAAACTAAGAATGCAAAGATATAAATTAAATGTAAACGGTATAAATACTAATTTAACAATAAAACAAAAAAGAATATGCAAGGTCGGTAGCCGGTACTCGGCATGAGGAATATCCACGAAGGCAGAGGGCACTTACGGGTCGTGGCCATCAACATTTCGGTACTAAAGACAAGATTCAGTACCTCACAGGGGGGGCAAACAATTCTAAAGAGGTTACCAGGAACCGGAAACTGACTAGGACAGGGACGTTTAGAAGTTCACCAACAAGGACAGGTTCTAGCAGCGTACTAACACCCCGACCCCCATTCATGAATCTCAATTGAATGGGGTTATTACTAAGACCCAGGTTGAGGAGGATTCTGAATTGTACTTAGTTCAATGTCCTCCAAAAACCACCATTAGCCCTCCTTATCCCGCACTCCTCTAGCCTACATTGGACGAATGGCCCGACCCGGCTGACAAAAATCCGTGGAGCGGCCTTAACCCTATAGGGTTAAGGCCGCTCCACGGATTTTTGTCAGCCGGGTCTATAGACACTGTCATGATGACAGTGTCATCCACGACCGCCTAGGGTGGATCTACCAGCCGGCGTAAAAACTTCGGATCCAACAAACACAGGTAATGCTGTGAATTGGCCGGATTCGTAGGAGAACGGAAAGGGGGTAAAATAACCCTGGGAGATTAGTGTAAGATAATGTTGATGGGGCCTGCCATACGTTCCCATACTCATACATACTCAATGGTTTAGTAGGGCTATCGGCAATTTTAAAAAAGGTCAACGTGTCGCAAAATTATACTTTTCGGGTGACGTGGAAATTTATTCGTATTTAGACAAAATTAACCTCATTAACCACTGATACAGTTACAACGTTCGTTTTCGTTTTTTTAATAACTTTGGAAAAAACAAAAAAAAAACTTTGTTTACGTCAATTATTAATTGTTCCGACCTTTACTTGATGAAACTCCATATTAACTATGTAAAACTTTACAACAAAGTTTTTTTATATCATCATAGTTGTTTACGTCACATCAAATAGAAGTAAATTTAATTATATCGCATTATTTCGAACTCAAGAATATGTGGTACCTTTTTTTAAAGGCATTTCACACCTTGTATAGGCAGAAATAGAAGTAATAAATATAAGTCATTTTGTATGCCTTAACAAGTTCTGTGTAAAATATATTTCGTGATGTAACAAAACGTGTATTTTCTACTTTTGGGTAAAAATTTCTTAAAAACCAAATTAAAGCAGTATTTTTAAGATATTTAATAACATGTATATCTAAAATTGATTTTCTCTATATTTATGATATTAATAAAATTTACGAAAAACAATTTTTGTCGTCAAAATAAATTAAGTATAAGGTAGCGTGGCCGAGCGGTCTAAGGCGCTGGTTTAAGGCACCAGTCTCCTCGGAGGCGTGGGTTCGAATCCCACCGCTGCCATTAACCTTTTTATTTACTCCTACATTGAGGAGCTTTGATTTTATGGCGTTTTAGTCACGGGCTGAAGTTGGATTTATTATAAAGTGGAAAAAAAAATAAGGTTAAGTCCAAATGACAGTTGACAGATGTAAAATTTTTAACAAATAAAATTGGCTTTAAATTCTGTTGTGTTTTTACAAAGCTTTTGAACCCCTGATCAAAAAAATCTCAAAATTTACTGAGAAAGCTCTTTCAAGAAGTACTAAAAATATAAAAAAAATGGAGGAATCAAAAAAAAAATTTTTTTTAAACCAACCGATTTGGCGAGGAATGCTCCATGTATAAATTTAAAAAAAATAATATTCCAATAACTATGTTGTTTACCCACAATACCTACAATATTTTATACTACCCGGTGGGCCTTCCATAATTACTATTTTTTTTTCGAGACTTGTAATAATATTTACAGAATTTTTTTTTTATTTTGAAAAATCGAAAAAAAATAGTAATTATGGAAGGCCCACTACCGGACCAGGCTGAATAGTTGTTGAATATATAAAAGTTGAAAATAAAAAATTTTCGCGAAAATCGAAGAAGACACACATTTTTAAAAACACGATTTAAACTCTAAAACTCAAAAATCTTGACTTAAAATGCTTCAAATATTTTCAATATATTTTTTTTCGAAAAGTACATTTAAAAACTAAAATTTTATATAGAATGAATTTTGATTTGGACCATTTTTTAAGAAGTTATGAGCGAAAAACAAAAAAAGAGCAGCTTTTGAACCCCTGATCAAAAAAATCTCAAAATTTACTGAGAAAGCTCTTTCAAGAAGTACTAAAAAATATAAAAAAATGGAGGAATCAAAAAAAAAATTTTTTTAAACCAACCGATTTGGCGAGGAATGCTCCATGTATAAACTCTAAAACTCAAAAATCTTGACTTAAAATGCTTCAAATATTTTCAATATATTTTTTTTCGAAAAGTACATTTAAAAACTAAAATTTTATATAGAACGAATTTTGATTTGGACCATTTTTTAAGAAGTTATGAGCGAAAAACAAAAAAAAAAGCAGCTTTTGAACCCCTGATCAAAAAAATCTCAAAATTTACTGAGAAAGCTCTTTCAAGAAGTACTAAAAAATATAAAAAAATGGAGGAATCAAAAAAAAATTTTTTTTTAAACTAACCGATTTGGCGAGGAATGCTCCATGTATAAATTTAAAAAAAATAATATTCACGGGTTCAAAAGATATAAAATTTTCAAAAAAACTGCTTTTTTTTTGTTTTTCGCTCATAACTTCTTAAAAAATGGTCCAAATCAAAATGTTCATTTTATATAAAATTTTCGTTTTTAAATGTACTTTTCGAAAAAAAATATATTGAAAATATTTAAAGCGTTTTATAAGTCATGATTTTTGAGTTTTAAAGTTTAAATCTTCGTTTTTCTCGAAAAATTTTTATTTTTAACTTCTATCTATTCAACAACTATTCAGCCTGGTCCGGTGGGCCTTCCATAATTACTATTTTTTTTTCGAGACTTAATAATATTTACAGAATTTTTTTTTATTTTGAAAAATCGAAAAAAAATAGTAATTATGGAAGGCCCACTACCGGACCAGGCTGAATAGTTGTTCAATATATAAAAGTTGAAAATAAAAAATTTTCGCGAAAACACGCGAAAACACGATTTAAACTCTAAAACTCAAAAATCTTGACTTAAAACGCTTCAAATATTCTCAATATATTTTTTTTCGAAAAGTACATTTAAAAACTAAAATTTTATATAGAATGAATTTTGATTTGGACCATTTTTTAAGAAGTTATAAGCGAAAAACAAAAAAAAGCAGCTTTTGAACCCCTGATCAAAAAAATCTCAAAATTTACTGAGAAAGCTCTTTCAAGAAGTACTAAAAAATATAAAAAAATGGAGGAATCAAAAAAAATTTTTTTTTTTAAACCAACCGATTTGGCGAGGAATGCTCCATGTATAAACTCTAAAACTCAAAAATCTTGACTTAAAATGCTTCAAATATTTTCAATATATTTTTTTTCGAAAAGTACATTTAAAAACTAAAATTTTATATAGAACGAATTTTGATTTGGACCATTTTTTAAGAAGTTATGAGCGAAAAACAAAAAAAAAGCAGCTTTTGAACCCCTGATCAAAAAAATCTCAAAATTTACTGAGAAAGCTCTTTCAAGAAGTACTAAAAAATATAAAAAAATGGAGGAATCAAAAAAAAATTTTTTTTAAACCAACCGATTTGGCGAGGAATGCTCCATGTATAAACTCTAAAACTCAAAAATCTTGACTTAAAATGCTTCAAATATTTTCAATATATTTTTTTTCGAAAAGTACATTTAAAAACTAAAATTTTATATAGAACGAATTTTGATTTGGACCATTTTTTAAGAAGTTATGAGCGAAAAACAAAAAAAAAGCAGCTTTTGAACCCCTGATCAAAAAAATCTCAAAATTTACTGAGAAAGCTCTTTCAAGAAGTACTAAAAAATATAAAAAAATAGAGGAATCAAAAAAAAAATTTTTTTAAACCAACCGATTTGGCGAGGAATGCTCCATGTATAAATTTAAAAAAAATAATATTCACGGGTTCAAAAGATATAAAATTTTCAAAAAAACTGCTTTTTTTTTGTTTTTCGCTCATAACTTCTTAAAAAATGGTCCAAATCAAAATGTTCATTTTATATAAAATTTTCGTTTTTAAATGTACTTTTCGAAAAAAAATATATTGAAAATATTTAAAGCGTTTTATAAGTCATGATTTTTGAGTTTTAAAGTTTAAATCTTCGTTTTTCTCGAAAAATTCTTATTTTTAACTTCTATCTATTCAACAACTATTCAGCCTGGTCCGGTGGGCCTTCCATAATTACTATTTTTTTTTCGAGACTTAATAATATTTACAGAATTTTTTTTTATTTTGAAAAATCGAAAAAAAATAGTAATTATGGAAGGCCCACTACCGGACCAGGCTGAATAGTTGTTCAAAATATAAAAGTTGAAAATAAAAAATTTTCGCGAAAATCGAAGAAGACACACGTTTTTAAAAACACGATTTAAACTCTAAAACTCAAAAATCTTGACTTAAAACGCTTCAAATATTCTCAATATATTTTTTTTCGAAAAGTACATTTAAAAACTAAAATTTTATATAGAATGAATTTTGATTTGGACCATTTTTTAAGAAGTTATAAGCGAAAAACAAAAAAAAGCAGCTTTTGAACCCCTGATCAAAAAAATCTCAAAATTTACTGAGAAAGCTCTTTCAAGAAGTACTAAAAAATATAAAAAAATGGAGGAATCAAAAAAAAATTTTTTTTTTAAACCAACCGATTTGGCGAGGAATGCTCCATGTATAAATTTAAAAAAAATAATATTCCAATAACTATGTTGTTTACCCACAATACCTACAATATTTTAAGTACATTTAAAAACGAAAATTTTATATAGAATGAATTTTGATTTGGACCATTTTTTAAGAAGTTATGAGCGAAAAAAAAAAAAAAGCAGCTTTTGAACCCCTGATCAAAAAAATCTCAAAATTTACTGAGAAAGCTCTTTCAAGAAGTACTAAAAATATAAAAAAAATGGAGGAATCAAAAAAAAATTTTTTTTTAAACCAACCGATTTGGCGAGGAATGCTCCATGTATAAATTTAAAAAAAATAATATTCCAATAACCATGTTGTTTACCCACAATACCTACAATATTTTATACTACCCGGTGGGCCTTCCATAATTACTATTTTTTTTCGAGACTTGTAATAATATTTACAGAATTTTTTTTTTATTTTGAAAAATCGAAAAAAAATAGTAATTATGGAAGGCCCACTACCGGACCAGGCTGAATAGTTGTTCAATATATAAAAGTTGAAAATAAAAAATTTTCGCGAAAATCGAAGAAGACACACATTTTTAAAAACACGATTTAAACTCTAAAACTCAAAAATCTTGACTTAAAATGCTTCAAATATTTTCAATATATTTTTTTTCGAAAAGTACATTTAAAAACTAAAATTTTATATAGAATGAATTTTGATTTGGACCATTTTTTAAGAAGTTATGAGCGAAAAACAAAAAAAAAGCAGCTTTTGTACCCCTGATCAAAAAAATCTCAAAATTTACTGAGAAAGCTCTTTCAAGAAGTACTAAAAAATATAAAAAAATGGAGAAATCAAAAAAAAAAAAATTTTAAACCAACCGATTTGGGAGGAATGCTCCATGTATAAATTAAAAAAAAATAATATTCCAATAACTATGTTGTTTACCCACAATACCTACAATATTTTATACTTTATAGTATGTTTTTTTAGTTCTTTTTATTAAGATAAAGAGAAGACTTAAAAATAAAACGTTCTGAAGCCCACGCGATCTTAAAATAAATATCGAAATAAAATAATGAAGTGGCGGTGTTGCGGAGCAAGGCGATCAATCAAAGTGTATAGTTGGCGCAACGCTTTCCACGGGAACAGCGATTCAATGCAATTAGGTAAATAAGCAAAGATTATCCGGATTGTGTTCAAGGAAAATAAGACCTTGCGGCAGCACTAAGCAGCTTTCCAAATAAATTATTCATGCCTCTTTCGCTAACAGTACGTCGGGCTGCTGCATAACCTATGCAAAGCCGATATCACTGCTGCTCCTGCTTCCTTGCTTGTGGCGCGTTCGACGGAAAATTAACCCTTTTTTGTTATGAATTCTGTTACACAGCAGACAAAATAGACTGGTGTATATGCGGTTAAGACACCCGAGAGAACTATCATAATCTACTTGAAGTTTGCTTTTCGTATACGTATACAATACAGATGAGTTAAACCATAATTATATGAATTGTCCTTGTTAACATTTTGAAGTATTAGAGTGTAATTCTTACAAAAATCTTAAAGCTTAAAAAAAGTATAAGACAGTTACCATTGATGTGCAGAAGACTAAGGGTCGGTTTTTCAAACATAGTTTAAACTTGGTTCAGCATTTGAACTTGGTTCAAACAAAATATGTCGTTCAAGCTTGAATTTGGTTTAAACTAAATCAATGTATTACGTTGTTTATTTCTTGTTTTGTGATCTGCTGTTATAATCACAGACCACCTAAACAAATGGACGGATTTTTTTACGTTTAAAAAGCGAGTAAAGCATAGTTTCACTTTCTAAACACCGTTGTCAGAAGTATAGATTACACTCCTTTTTGGACGTTCATCATAACATAATGAACATTAAAAATTACCAGTAATTCGTTTGAATAATAAAAAAATTGTAAAAAGTATTTATAAACCAATTTGTTTCACTAAACCTAAACTTTGCTGATGATATTATTTCAATAAAAACTTAATTAAATTAAATTATCCCTATTTAAAACCACGGCATGTAACATAAATAAATTTAATTTAAAAAACGTATCGTAATCACAATTAAATTAAACTATTTTTAAATTATCCCTATTTAACACCACGGCACTGGTTGCAGTCAGCTGTCATATTTGTTATATGTCAGCTGTTTTGGAGTACGCAATATGTAACTGGAAGAAAACATAAAATTCTATAGCCAATTTAACGCTTAGACTGTGACCGTTCGTTGACCGCAAACAAAGCATTGTTATTGAATGGCAATGCGCCGCCGATTTGTTTTGGTGGTCTGTGGTTATAATAAACCAATGGATATGTTTGAGGTAGTTAGTGAGGATGATGAGAAAATTGGCGAATTCCTAAATAATATTCAACATAATGATGAATTTTTTGCCAGATTTCGGTTTTCCAAACCTTTTGTACGTAGGATAGTGGATTTAATTAGACCAGTTATTGCAAATCCGACCAATACGTTAGTTATAAAAATAATTACTGAATAGGTAATAGATTTTAGTAAAATTGATCACATGTAACAAAAAACGACAAATTCATTTTATACTATAAAAAGAAATACATACAAATAATTCCTCCTTAAAAGAGGTAAAGTTGGGAGCACGATTTTTATCCATAATAAATAATAATTATTGTTCTTTAACAATAGTAAATTGTTTTAAAGCAACCTTTCGCACAGATTAGAACTTTTTAAAACAGCACAGATAAACAAAACTCCAAAAGTAAACACAAAATCCTTTTGTCAAAATGACAGTTTTAACTACTATTAATGTAGGCGTATACTAAATTCGGTTGTACAGTGGCCGACACGGAATTTTGAACGACATAACTTGGTTGTCAATGTATACATCTGTAAATAGCAAAGATACAATATTGAGCATTTTTGCTTTCGCTGTCAAAATTACAATACTAGTGATAACCGAAAGTAAGGTTAGTTGTCCATAAAGAAAGTTTAGATTTTGATGTCAACAGGATGATAGTCGTTCAAAATTCCGTGTCGGCCACGGTACCAATTTAACGTTGACACCGCTGATCTAAGTTCAACAGAACTGCTGTTGAGTCGACATTGAAAAACTTATTTGACTGTGAACTGAGTTCATTAACTGATCTAAGTTCCCCTAAGGTTTAAACCCTAATTGAAAAACCGGCCCTAAAGCCCAGTTGTATAACAGTTGGTAAGCAGCTGGTTAACTCTTGATAATAATTATGTAATGATTAAGCTAACTTTCAAGTTATATAAACATTGGTTAAAATTTAATGAAGTGATCAACATACAATCAACAAATCGGTGAATTTTGTGTGGTTAACGTCGGGTTAGAACACACATAACCTTATAAATGTCAACGTTATCTGAGGTTATCATTAAAATGGTAGAACATTTAACGGATGATGCAGATTTTTTTATAATTAGTAGAAATTGTTATTTTTCCTAAAAAACCGAAACTTTCGTGCAAGACCTGAATACTTTACAGATTTAAACATAGAAGAATACAGAAACAAATTTCGTCTTTCAAAAAATATTATATTTTTGAAATAAAGAAATATTAGCCATAATTTCTTTAAGAACTAATACAAAATAAGCGCTTTCTTTTAGGCAAATGATTGAATTAACTTTACGATTTTTGGTATTGGTATTGAGTTTTAATCAAGGTTAGGTTTTCAAAATACCGGTAATTTTTTTTAGTTAAATATTTCTGTTCTTTTTAAATGAATTCTGTTCATAACATTATTCTCTCAATAATTGAAACGCCTTTTTAAGAAAAAATGAAACTAAAAAAAGACAGATATTGGGCAATCCTCCAACGCCAAAAATTTCATCCATATTGAACGAAACGAGGCAGAGTAAGCAATATTTACGAATTTTTCAAATATCTTGGTACGAAACCTATAAGTGGCTATACGAAAATATTTATAAACAAACCCCAGTAGCACAAAATATTAATATTATTAATATTATTAACCAATTGGTTCTATATGGGTCGCGTCTATGCCCAATATTTTTTATCTGGGGCCAATATTGGATTAATTTAGCCGATGTAAGTCCAATATTGGCATAAAATGATTTTTTTTAATATATCATTGCCAATGTTTATCCATGTTGGTCCTATATTCGCATATTATTTTACGCCAATATATCATTAACTATAGTCAACGATGCTTTTTTTAAAAGTGATTTGTAACGATACACGTTTGTTTCCAGGATATGTCTATACTATTGGCGCAGGAACTGTTTTAAGTTGGGGGGTGGCGCAACCGACTACCATCCTTATTTTATATAATAAAGGCCATTTCTTGTCTTATTAGCAATAAAATTCGTTATTACGTCAATAAAGCTCAAGCTAATCATTTTAGCAAACGATACAAACGATTTTAGCATTTCATCTTAATTAAGAATAACATAGACGGTACACGACTTGTCCTATTGGAGGGTACATTTTATATCAAGTAACCCCCCTCTCCCCCTTTTCATTTGGGTGGGCATTGTTACTCGTCCCCCCGCTTCTACGCCCCTAAGTAGCTACTATAAACATTTCCTGAAAACAAACGTTTGTCGACAATATCGTGAAATATCACTTTTAGAAAACCTACTACATAGTAAGTACTAGGTGGCTATCTTTTTTTTTAATTTCTCCCTCAACTTTCCTAGAATATAATGTAAAACAACTTCGGGCCAATGCGGATTTCCAATATCGGTTATATAATGTCAAACAACTTTGGGCCAATGTTGGGTTTCAATATTGGACCAAGCTAGAAAAAATTTGACGAAAGATATATTGGCCCAATATTATTACGAATATTGGGCCAATATCTTTGTGCTACTGGGGAAGTTTATTCTGTTGTCATTGAATTTTATTAGGCCGCGTCAAACACAATTGGAGTTCAGGGGGTGGGTATTCCGATTGCTCTGATATTTTTTTTGTTTTAAATGTATATTTTTATCTAACCATATAAATAAATTTTTAAGTTCTAGATATTTTATTTATTTATGTTTTTGAGTTTTACAATTTGGGTTAAGATTGCTTTTATATTTTCTTTTTTAGTTTTTTTTATTTATAATGGTTTAGTAGGGCTATCGGCCATTTTAAAAAGGTCAACGCGTCGCAGAATAAAACCTCCCAGGTGACGTGGAAGTTTTTTCGTTTTAGACAAAATTAACCTTAACCCCACCCTCGAGCCGCAACTGCGTCAAGTTCAATGTTTAAAATCATACAATTTCCAATAAAACCTCACAGGTACTTTGGTACTTGACAACAGCATGGGTATTTTGGTCACATCAATAAGTAGTACCAGAAACTATAGTGAGCAATATCTGAACATCAATGGTTAATGTTTTATTTTCAATGTGTAGATATACTTAATTGTTTTAAGATGCTAACGATTGATTTTTTAATGCAGCAATGTTAACCCTAACTGAAGCTGGTTAAGGCCCAGTTGTATAACAGTTGGTTAACAGCTGATTAGCTGATTAACTCTTGAATTTAATTTAATTTAATGTTTAGCGGTGCTCCGTTACTGACAAAGTGTACTACACTTAGTTATTATCTAAGTGTGGTACACTTTGTCTATCACGGAGCACCGCTAAACATTAAATTAAATTAAATTTAAGAGTTAATCAGCTAATCAGCTGTTAACCAACTGTTATACAACTGGGCCTAAGACACCTTAACAATTGACACTTTTCACAATTACAAAATGTTTAGAAGTAGTTGTTTTATTCACCATAATGCAGAGAAACGACCACCTAATAAACGAAATTTCAAAAAAGACTCATTCACGTTTACATAACCAGCAAAATTAAAAACTGTTAATTGATATTTTGTGTGAAAACAGAAAAAAATATATTTATTGCAACAGTAGCACAACCAAAGCAAATCATTCCATCATCTCTGCAGCTACCAGGGGCGTTATCAGAAGTGGGCCCTGTTAAAAAATGTTCTTATTTTAAATAATTTTGATACAGAGCGAGGTTATTTTTTAAAACCATCTAATTATTTCCAATATATATGACACGTCACTGCTTTTAATTTGTTTTCATATCATAAAATAATAATAATAATATCATAAATAAAAATAAAACTTTTTTATTTTTTAAAGGTTTTTCGCATCTCGCTTCGTTTTCGAGAAAAAAAAAGATTTAAAATAAAAATAAAATATTTTGAAGTTGTTTGTATTGTTTTAGTTATTTATTAAAATCAAATATTATATATGAAGGGGTTAGAATAGAAAGGGTATAAGTGCAATTTCTTTAATTTAGGAGATAAGTTCGTTTTGTGAAAGATAAGGTTCCGACGTATCGAAATGAAAAGGATTTAAGTAATTTTCATACTTCTAGCGACCTCTATTATCCAGTAGAAAAACAATACTAAACAAAATTCTTCACTTTTTTATGGTAACATAACTTTAACTTCAAATATCTCCAAAAAATGAAAATGTTACTTATACCCTTTTTATTCTAACCCCTTCATATTTATTTTTTATATAAAATTATTACAGCACATTGTAAGTCGAAGTTTTTTGCAATGTTAATGAATAACCCATACATACATACTCGTACATCGTTTACCAAAAATAATTTTTTAAATCACCAAAGAGTGCCGATCAAAAAACAAGATTAATTTTTTTCAGCGTGAAGAACACATAAAAAATTCAATTGTTTATAATAAATGTATGCAAAATTCTTTTTTCTACTACCTTACTAGAAAACTTAATTTTCCACCCCCGAGCGAGGGGGTGAAAATTTCCTCCCTCTTTTTTTTGTTTAACAATTTTACATTAGCAAGAGTTTTTGTACCTTGTCTAGCCCTATTTGATTTTGTAGGAACAACAACAAACTATAGGTATTCATTTTCATATCGCTCTTCCGATTTTTAAGTAAATTAATTGCAAATATTCTTGCCTCTTTAACAAGATTTTGCGGCAGGTCTTCTTCGCTAGAACTCATTTTCAAAACGTAGGAAGAATTTCAAATTTATGATAAACATTCTGACAGTTTATAAAAACTCTTATGTTTGTATTACCAAAAATACCATAGCAACAAAGCGTTGTCAACATAACGTCGGCGACGCAACACCTACTTAATATTTTGTCATAATTTTATAGCCCCATACCGGGTTAGTAAAAGAAACCGGAACGCTTAAAATGTAATAGAAAAAACTATATACATACCTCACGAGGAAAATGCTTTTCCTCCCTTGAATATTTAATGCCCTTCGCTTCGCGTCGGGCATTAAAATATTCGCTGGAGGAAAAGCACTATCTTCCTCCTATGGTATGTTAATAGCTATTATTTAAACAAATTTACCTTAATTAAATGATCATTATACAGTCTAAACTTTGCTACAATAGTGTGTAAAATTTAATTCAATTATACAGAGTGGTCCCAGAAATTCTATTTTTTCAATTTTACCGTGCTCCAGAGTTTTACAAAATTATTAACTTTAATAACAATAACAAAAAACCGAATTTCAAAACAAATTTTTTACTGTGACATATGCGTCATGCCTACCACACAATAATGTGATTATTTTCAAAATCGGTGATTTCATGAAATTTTTTGGTCCCACTTGACGTTGCTTGACTCAGTGTCTCTCTTCTTAATGAAGGTTTAAAGAGTTGCCAACAACCTAAACAGCTCTACTAGCACTAAAAATGATGCGTGTAAGAGCAGTTAAAGGCATCACAATACCTTCACTACATATTGGTTCTGACTCCGGCCCTGTTCCTTTATTCCATGACGCTGATACTGCTGTTGCTGTTTTTGTCTGGTAAAAAATCCGTTGTGTTTATGATATTTGATGCGCTCGGACATTGAAATAAATTTATTTCAGCCCTCGTCTGAATGAAATGTTTGCATCTACTATAACAACCTCGGGCGCAACGCTTGCACTGTCATTTAAACATAAAACGAATTATTTATATTAATATTTATTTATGCTGCTTTCATCTCTGGCGATTTATGTGGCGGCCGGTTGTTTAAAATAAAACATTTCATATTTAATAAATACGTTCTGGCACGATAAAAACCCTGATTTTATATTTGAAATTTGTACATTATTTAATTCAATATATTTAATTACTTGTAAATTTTTATCCAATTAAAAATGGCTTAAGGTTAATGATAAATCGTGACCTTAATTTAAAACCCATGGTTTGTAATTATTTTAAGAAATATTTTACTAATTTCAAAGTTTACAGATTATTTTGTTAATGTTTAACAAATTATTTCGTTAAAAAGGACACGTGATTTTAGGCAGTCAAACATTTCCACTGACAATACGCATCAACAAGTTCAACTGACTTCAGCGTCTGCAACTTATGTTTCTGCTAACTTTATTTTAATTCGTAACGTGTTCGTAACAACTGTCCAGAGTGTTTATAATATATTACCAGAAATCTGTTATTATTGTTATTCGGATTACTTATACCTATTTAATGAGTGTGCAAAGTGCGAAGTATCCAAAAAAAGATGCCATTACTGGTTTTCAAACTGAAATTGGGAGATACAGTAAAGTGGGTTAAAGTTACGAAATACCTCTGTGTAGTTGTACTAATAATTATATTGTACCAAATTTCTTTATAATTTGATGATTCCAGACGTTGTGTTATTTAATTGGGTTTATGTTATTTTTGTGTTCATTTAAGGCCGTATTACAGCCGGCAATTCCTCTTGCAGCAATTTTTCTTGCAGAAATTATTTTTGCCATCAAGTTTTCAAGGCCGTATTGCATGCTGTTTTACAGTCAGCAATGGCAAGAAAACTTGCTGTTTATTACCGTGCTACCAACCGAAGAAAAAAATACGATTTTGTAAACACTAAGTTTATTTGTTATTTAGTAGAGATATTTAAAAATTAATGAGTAAAATGGATACTAGAACTTTGAACAAAATGTCAATCATAAAACAAATAACCTTAAACTGTTTAAGTCAAACAGCGTCTCTTTAGGGAATTTGTAGTAGGGTTGGTAACATAAAAGTTACCAGGTTTCACCCCATAATTGCCGTGAAACGGCAATAAAAATCCATCCGGACCGATTTTCGGCAATTGCAAGAGATTCGTCCAAATGTCTCAACCGCGCATGCCTATGGCAATTTTCATTGCAATTGCCGAAAGAATTGCCGGCTGTAATACGGCCTTTATGTAAATATTTTTTAATTTTTTTCTTTAGGAAATTGATTAATAAAGCAACATTTTTGACAACATTCTTTTCATTTAAGTTCCCAATTTCCAAAAAATACTTTTGTTACTCGGTCTACAAAAAGGTTTGTAAAAATAAGGTCCTTTTTAAAAATTTTAAACTGCCATTTCCGGTTTAACAGGAAGAGGTATTTTGTTCAAAATATTTTAGAAAAATAGACTTTAATGGATTATAAACGCTTTTAAAAATTCAAATCGATATCTTTTTCCGTTCTCCAGAAACTTTTAATGGACCACGAATGTGAAACACCCTGTATATATATTTAAATAAAGTAACATTAACATAGTAAAAAAATCAACTCTAAGCAACACTAATTTGAGTTCACACAGGTCCACACTAAATAGTGTTGTTTTATAACACTACAATTAGAGTTAATTTGTAGTGTAATTTTCCCCAAGTAAGCAAGTATGATTTAACACCATAGCACCGAGGATAAAGTAATTTTACACTGTATTAAAAAGTGTTAATTTACCTAAAATCTTGTACTTCTACACTTCCTGGGCAAAATCCCACTTTTGTTCAGTGTAAATTAACACTACTTTGGAAAAGTTCTAATTTTAGAAAGGTACTTTTACTCTTTTAGTGCAAACTTCTAGTGTAAATTAACACTTTTATTTGAGTAAAACCTATTGGTGGTAGTGAATAAAACGAAAAGGAAAATAAAAAGAAACATTTATTTCGAACAAAAATCTATGAAAATTATCAAAATCGGTGCCTTTTAAAATATAATTTTATATTTGAGTCGTATGGATGGCTTAAGCAAAATGGTTCCTTAAAACGTAAAAGTTTTAGATCAATGCAATGTTTTACTGGCTTTCAACTTGTAAGCAATGAATTATCTTGAGAATTCATCAGTAATCCATTTTTCTGTTATAAAAAATGGGTGATCCCATTGGTAGAGAGGCGTCAGGCGGCTGTATGTCGGGGATTTACCACACGCGAACAAATTTTCTATAATATTAATAAAAATGTAGGTATATGTTAATATAACAACCATTACGCTTGAAAATAAAAAGTAAATCAACTGTGTATGTATTTATAGTATTTATATTATTAATGTTACAAGTACCCGTAAAATTAAATTATTATAACAAACATTACGCTTGAAAATAAAAAGTAAAATCAAGTGTGTATGTATTTAAAGTATTTATATTATTAATGTTACAAGTACCCAAAAATTAAAATGTCCCCTTATGGTTTCATTAAAATGAAACTGAACAAAAATGCCACACTTTCACAACGCGGTATCTCCGGATATGCACTGCGTGAGTAGATAGGTACCAACCAAACATTTTAAAACGCATTTCGGTTATTACCAGTTTTTTCAGTCTATTTTGCCACTATTGGTGTAATTTAACTTTAATTGTGATACAATGTGCACTACTATTAGTGCACAAAGAAAAAAGAGCTCTTAGTAACATCAAAACAGACAAAGAAATTGGCATGCACTGTAGTGTATACACTACAGTGCATGCCAAAAACTTAATGCGAGTGACAAAATGTATACATTTTGTCACTCGCATTAAGTTTTTCTACCCTTTTTGATTTATTTTAATAATAAATAGTGTGAATGTACCAATGAATAATGTTCATATTCTTTAAATGTGTTTAATAAAGTTAATAAGCACTAAATGCTACCTAGTGTATTTTGTAGTGTAACTTTTACACTTACAAATCAACTCTAATATTTTTACCCCTACACTAAAAAATTTACACGGGCGAAATTTTTTACTGTGTAGGAAAGTGCCACATTTTAAAAATCTATACGTTCGCAAAACAAGTAGGTCTAATACTAAACAAGGAAATATACAATTATAAATATAAAAATTCAATTGTGTATTTCGCTCCGCATACCCTGTACAGGGTGTCCGGGAAAAGGAAGTCAATCCGTTAACCATATATTCTTTGAGTTAAAACAATAAGACTTTCATAATACCATTTTTCAATTTAGAGCTTCATGTTCGATATACAGGGCGACAAAGTTTGAAATTTAAAACTGATTTTTTTAAATAATTCGAGTAATTATTAAGATATTAAGTTCAAATTCGGTACACTACTTCAACATAAATAGTTACATGTTCTGAGACCAGATTTTTTTGTGTGGGAGCTTTATTTTTAAAGTTATTTTTCTGAAAACTGGTGAGGCATTATTTTATTAATGTAGAATTCAAATATTTGAGTTAGATTGAATCCAATCTAAAATTTTCATTAAATTTTGTGGCATACGATATTTTATAAGAACATCTTTAGGAAAATGTAAAAATAGTCTTGTTGCTTAAGTTACATTTACCTTACTTTGTGGAATATAGATTTGATGATTACTTTTGTCAAAACATTGTTAGCGACATTTATTTTTTTACTTTTATTATTAAATAAAAAATAATTACAAAAAAATTAATTTATATCACCAACGATATTTTGCCAAACAATGTTTGAAAATGAAAATCTACATTAACTTTCTTTGAAAAAAACGAACGATTTTTATTCACAAACCAGTATCTAACCCATGGAGCCTACACAAGGAGCCCGAACTTAATGTCTGTGCAAACCAACCTTTAGGGACATTTTTGACAAGATGACAAGCAGTTTTAAAAAGTTGACAGAGAATCTAACCTTAAAACAACAAAATCAACAATGAAATACGTCAAACTGACAACTTTCAGAAAGTAAGGTTAGTGGTTAATAAAGGCAGTTTTACATTTTGAAATCAACTGAATGACAGGTCGTTCGAAATTTTTTGGCCGTCATCTAACCGTTATAAATTTGAGTTAAATTATTTGTTTGTTATTTGTGGATTGTGGTAGCAATGACCACGATGCAGGTATACTCACGAATAAACTGTTTAGAGCGGGAATAACGCCTTGATAGATCAAGGCGGGAGCACAATATTATCGTAAGCGACACAATGTTAAATCGCAAACGCCATGTCTCGGAGTTGCTTACGATTATTTGTCAGGAACATATAGGCGCTTACGTTATAAATCGGTAACAAATTAAAAAGAAGAGGCGCTTACAATAATAAAAATATTCAAACTGACCAATATTAGATTCCAAAATTGGAATAACTATTATGTTAACATGTGCAGCTTATCGTAACTGACCCTTTGATAAAATAAAAAGTAATTTAAAATTGTCGCTTACGATGTTTTGTCAAATAAACATCGATATACCTTCCGGTCTAAACTTTATAGGTATTATTTTTTTTAAGGTTTGCTTCTACGAGCCCGAAAACGTCGGCTATTATTACAAGTACGCGGAACTATCCAAGGAAACAATTTACAAACCAAAGTATCATTGGGAACTGTTGGAATGGTCCGACTGTTCCCAAAAATGCGGTAGCGGAATACAAACAGCAAAATACGATTGCGTCGAGGAAAAATCCGGAAAAGTTTCTCCCAGTTTTTGCAAAGATACCCCGACGCCCCAGGCAGAGCCCAAAAAATGCAACGAACGTCCCTGTGCAACTAAGTAAGAGTAAAGTTATTTAAAAATTATCATAATTTTTTATGCAAATGTCTGGTTTGTTTGTAAATGCAACCTAAAAGTAAATTCCTTGAAATCACGGTCAATTGGCGTCCCCGAAATGTGAACGATTTTTGGTTTTCATGTATTTTTTTTCATTAAATTTATTCGTTTATTCCTGGCTTTGGTCAGTGGTATTACAAATAGAGGGGAGAATACTAACAATAAGTACAATATCCCAAATCATTCTATTTTTTTTTAATAATATTTTAATAAACAATAATATAATAGTATATTCTGTAACTAGTTTGGAATACAGCATATTCCGCTCGAGTGAAGAGTTTGTCACACGAGCCGAAGGCGAGTTTGACGGTTTCACGAGTGCGGAATATGCAATTCCAAACGTGTTTCAGACTATACTTTTTCTACGTTTCCAAAAAATACCATAGAAAAGTCATTTGATTGGAAGAAAGTGAGGTTGGATCGGTCTAAAATTTGTTAGATATTAAAAACAGAGATGTCGTCACGAGTGTTTATTCTGTCATCAGATGATAGAATATTTCATTCTGTAACACTTTACTTCCATTATTGCAAGATTGGAACGTCATCAGAAAATATAACATTATTTCAAAATTCCTCTTCATAATTTAGATGGTCATTGGCTCACGATGTGCCTGAACAAAGTTTAAGTCACATAAAATGCCGCCAAAAACTGATTGCAGTTTCTTTCTCGGGACCCTTTGGTGACTTAAAAATGATATTTACCAAAATCGTAGCTGCTCCTCTTTTTGAAATTTTTTTAAAAATTCATGATTTTTTTTTAAATTTTTGTTTATCTTAAACTCTACCTTTGACAGAGTACACATTTGTACACCGATTTTTATAATATTAGAGTATATTGTTAAGGAGATTTGAAGAATACTTTCTTATACTATGCACATCATTTAATCGCTTCTTTTAATAAAGCAAAAGCGTAAATTCATGATTTTGGCATAACACGTAAAAAAGATATACCCACCCATGTTTTTTTAGATATTTTTATGTCTATCAGGCCACAAAATGGGATTCTTATTAAGACTTTATAAGAAAAATTGATTTTGAATAAAATTAAATAAAATAACATTTTTTGGAGATAAATCTTTTTTGTGCATTATGCTTTTTACTATATAAAAAAGTGATTTTTGGCTAACCCTGTATAAATCTAATGATGTGCTCAGTATGAAAACAGTATTCCCAAAGTCTCGTTAACAATATACTCCAATATTTTAAAAATCGGTGTACAAATGTGTACTCTGTCAAAGGTAAGATAAACAAAAATTAAAAAAAAAGAATTTCCAAAAAATTTCGAAAATAGGAGCAGCTAGGATTTTGGTAAATATCATTTTAAAGTTACCAAAGGGTCCCGAACAAAAAACTGCAATCAATAAAAATCGGTGTACAAATGTGGACTATGGCAAAGGTAGACTGCGATAATCAAATAATTAATAAAAAAATGATTTTTTAACAAATTAAAAAAAAAACAGTTAGAATTTTGGTAAATATCGTTTTTAAATCTCCAAAGAGTGCCGATCAAAAAACTTTAACCAGTTTTTCGTTCAAAGGTTTTTCGCATCACGCTTCGTTTTCGAAAAAAAAAGATTTAAAATAAAAATAAAATATTTCGAAGTTGGTTGTATTGTTATAGTTATTTATTAAAATCAAATATTTTATATTTATTTTTTATATAAAATTATTACAGCATATTGTAGTTTTTTGCAATGTTAATGAATAACCCTATACAAAATGGTAAAAAATACATACATACTCGTACATCGTTTACCAAAAATAATTTTTTAAATCACCAAAGAGTGCCGATCAAAAAACTTTAACCAGTTTTTTTTTTTTAATTGAAAACTACTAAAAGGCCTGAATTAAACAACATTTTAAATATCTCTAAGCAATATTTTATTTAATTTTATTAAAAAACTATTTTTTATATAAAAGGTTAATAAGAATGCCATTTTGTAACCTGATAAACGTAGAAATATCTAAACAAATGGGGAGAAATCTTTTTTCCGTGTTATAACACGGCATAAATGCCAAAATCATGAATTTACGCTTTTGCTTTATTAAAAATAAGCGATTTTTGGCTCACCCTGTATATATCAAATGATGTGAACAGTATTAAAAAGTATTTTTTAGGTCTGCTCAATAATATACTCTAATTTTATAAAATTCGGTGTACAAATGTGAACTCTGTCAAAGGTAGACTTTGAAATAAACAAAAATTAAAAAAAAATCCTGAATTTTCAAAAAATTTCGAAAAGAGGAGCAGCTAGGATTTTGGTAAATTTCATTTTTAAGTCACCAAAGGGTCCCGAACAAGAAACTGCAATCAGTTTTTGGCGGCATTTTTATGAGACTTAAACTTCGTTCAGGCACCCGGCTAAATGGACTCTCTTGCGCCTATTTTCGTCAGTTAAAAAAACCTTATGAGCAGCAGCACAGTTTTTTAAACCAGCTTGTTTCAATATTTTTTGAGATGTTGAACTGTTCGATGAGATACTGGAAATTGTGTATCTTCTCAGGCCTTAACTGCGCTATTGAAATGATTTTGCCTAATATGTGAAAGCTCTTCTTAATCTTTGTTGTTCTTGCCAACGTTTCTTGATATAAAATATGCAGCTTTACTGACTTTAAATCGGCATCTACTTCACTTAAAGACACACTTTCTTTTAATTTGGCTGAGCCTCAGTTAAGTGGCTGACTTTAAATCTGCAGCCACTTCAAATTAACAACTACCGACGACACTGATGCAAAGCCTATATTACACTATAAAATTTTGCCGTTCACATTTTCAGGGACGCCAATTGTAACGCCAATAGTAATGTTATAAAGATTTGTACATTTTTAACGCCTAAACATAATATTATTTCTTTAGTTGACTATACTTTGACAGATACATCACCTGAAAAGCCTTAAATGCCAAATTTTCAAAAGACTGCGTTCCGTACGTGGTCACGTGGTGGGACTTTGAGGTGTGGCATAGTACATAATGATCCAAATCTATCACTTTTAATAATAGTTTTTATCAACATTATCTTGAAAACATTAACCAAATTATTATTTAATACAATTTGAACCTTCACAGTTCATTAACATTTTATTATTCCCCCACACTTGCATGACAGTGGATTCCAATTTCCGACTCGCCCCATATCTTATTGAAGACTACAAAGTACTAATAAATGATAGCTTATAGTCACGCCACATGCCAGGCTGTTTCCTTAACTTTTTCTTCGATGTTTAGATGGAAAGTTGGCAATTGGGGCAAATGCCATGCATGCAAAGATAAATCTGGAGTGAGGATTAGGGAAGTGGAGTGCGTACGGGAAGCGGCTCATCCAGGTGCTCAGGACGTCCTTGTGGAGGATTCTGAATGTCGCGAAGTTAAACCAGGTAAATATTTTACAGGGGTTTTGTATATTTTTTAAAAGCAGCCCTAAAACAAAGTTTTGACAGGCGATTAGTTATTATTGCTTGATATACAATGTGCACTTTTAAAGTCCCCCTGTTATCTTTTCAACGAAAAAAGGCATCGACATCGGATGAAAACCATTGTCAAGGATATTAAGTATACTACTTTTGGTTGCTAAGATATTATAAGTTTAAATAATAGTATATTATGTATCAAGTTTGATAAACGCCATTTTATACACGAATTTAATTTAGGCACGAGTGAGCTTGCGAGCGAGTGCTTAAGTTAATGAGTGTATAGAAAAGTTTATAAACGAGGTGCATACTATACTTTTTCTACGACAAATACTTATTATTATCTTAAAATGATTTAAATCAAAAATTTGTATAGAGCGCAATCTATGAAACCATAGGGGAAACTGTAAAATGTCACATTTAGATTCACAGAACACAATTATAAAGGTTATAAATCGAAATGTATCTTGAAAATTGACAGTTTTTCACAGTGAAAGTAAAGGAAATGTTTTATAAGGACTTAACAGTGGAGTCCGTGCCCGAATTTAAGTTATAGTTTACTGCCGGCGAAATTAAAAGGTCAGTACAATGTTCATATAAACTTTTCAAATATTCGCGTTAAGAAACTATTTAATATTTTTGTATCTTTGTATTGAGATAATAAAATAATTTTCACATTTAGTATTATTTTACAAGAAAGGCACTTTATTTTAACGATTTTATGACATTTGACAACTGTCAACTAACTTAAAACTAACTTCAGCCCGTGACTAAAAACCTGTTGCTAACTTCAGCCCGTGACTAAAGCGCCGTAAAGCCACAACTTGTCAATGTGTATTTAAAGGATCACTTAGTGTCATGGAAACATGTACGATAAAGGGCGTTTTAAAGGTGGGAGTAGAAAAAATAAATTATCAAATCAAATTTTTATTTATAAAGTGCAAGTTTTTCATTTGTAAGTACAATACACTTCTAAATAGTCATCAAATTAGATATTCAAAATGATCCCTTTCACATTTTGATACAAAAATAGTTTGTTTCTAATTTTAGTTCTCACATTTGCAAACGTTTCTTGTATAATATTTGCACATTTACGTCTAATCCGTAGTATGGTCAAAAAGCAACGTTTTACAAAAAAAATTTCAATAACTTTTTTATTGCAAATAAATATTAATTGTTTTAATGTGTTAAATAGGAGTTATTAAGTATATTTAACAAAATTTTAATCAAAAATTTTAAAGGTTTTTATTTTTTAAATGCGTTTTTAGATGTTCATAGAGCGTCAATTGCGGAAATACCCCAATAATTTTTTTAATTCAAAAAATATTATTTTTTACTTTGTTAAATAAGACGGTGTAGCTATGCAGCGCTAAAAATAAAAATTCCTAACTTTTCCCTTGAACCGACCCCATCTGTCAATTATTAAAATTATCTTTATTTTTATAAAAATATTGCTTATGTTTCTTTTATTTTATGTATAGCCTAATAAAAGAAGTATATATTTAACAATTTGTATGCCAAAATGGACTAATGCGCATATTAATTAATCCAATGCTCAAAGGATTTAAACTAATGCACGTAATACGCTTATTGAAATTGGTTTATCATGAAACATATGATAAACCTCAAAGTATCTCAGGACGAGGAAATTTGTCAAGTAATTAAAGATACTTGTATATGAGCAACAAGTTTTATAAACAAATTTACAAAAAAGTTATATAACCTGGTTATAAAACTTGAGGTGCTAAAGCACCCTTTAGTTCATTATAAACATTTTATATAAATAATGAGAACTTTAGGTAATTAAAAGTGTTACTGTGGATGCTTAACTACATAGCAATTGCTAAAGGTTAACCTTTAAGTGGATTTTAAAAATTTGGCAATGGTTTTTGTCCGATGTCGATACCTTTTTTCGTTAAAAAATAACAGAGGGGGACTTTTAACGTGCGTACTGTATACAAACCCCTATTTAACAATATTTTATTGTTTACATTATTTCAGACAATATTGGTAATACAAAAGAAAAATATATTGATTCCAACTATTATTATAACACAGTTTAGCACGATTATTAAAATAAAGGTTAACAATTTTAACAGATTTTAAAATTAAAGGTTAAAAAACGTACTACTGTCTCACCGTTGCACGAAATCACGTCATTTAAATTTTGTATAAAGCCATTCTTATTATTTTTACCTATAGGTATAGATACAGATTTTTAATTCTCTATTATGATATAAATAATTTTTTTCTTTAAATAATGTATGTTTTAACATTATACAAAAATTATACTTAAAGAAAATAATATATTTTTTTTTCCAACGGCCATGATATACAACCTTATATGCATGTATAGAGATAGTTGAAGTGCGTCTTTTTCATTAGCGGCAGACAAAAAACTCAAAAAAGCCTAGGGATAAAAGTAAATCCATATATGGACCTATAGGTGACTCAATAGACGTCAAATTATAAAATTAATTTAGCATTTCATATTAAGCAATCACGATGTATTAGTAATTATTTATTAAATTTTAATTGAACGAAATAAAGAACAACTAGTTTATTAGTATAATATTATGATGATAGACGAGTCGCCAAAGTCGGAATTTCAAACAAATGTCAGTACGTCAAAATTAATTCAAGCGCAGCATTTTGACAGAGCTGTGTTTATTTTTAGTTTAGGCTTTGTTATCTATGGTTTAGGATATTTATCGGCATTGTAAGTAAGGGTTATAAGTTTTTTTAGTTCTTATCAATAATTTGTCATGCTTTTAGCCAAAATTTTATACCACATGAGTTATAAGTAAATAAAATAATTCTATTGCTTATCCTATTTATATTACGCCCTTGAAAAAAAAATTGTATATGTTATTTGGAGTAGAAGCTCTTTTTGTGCTTCGTACAGTTGCCTGCCTCAGCTACGCTTCGGCCGTCAATCTCTGTACTCACCACAAAAAGAGTCACTTCTACTCCTTATCACATAATCTACTATTTTTATTAAAATAAAATAATTTCTGTTTTTAATTTTTATTTTTTTAATAAAATTTGTATTTATCTTATATTCAATATATGTTGGAAAAAAATCTTGGTCTTTAAGTTTGACGATTATACATTGCTTTAAAATCATTGTAGTGGTATTATAACCTAAAAAATATGATATACAGGGTGTTTCACATGCGTGGTCCATTGGAAGTTTCTGTTAAAGAATTGACATGGAATCCTAAGATCCTAAGGTTTTAAAAATTCCACCTCCATATCCGCAAACCTAATAGCAAAAAAGTATAATTTTTGTATTGTGTTAAAACATACAATAGTTGGAGGAAAAAAATCAAATGTTGTCGTACTGTGTAATACCTAATAGTTGGATTCAATAGATTTTTCTTTCGTGTTTACTAATATTGTCTGAAATAATTTAAAAAATAAATTATTGTCTGGGCCAAATGAATCTGGGCTCGTACTATAGAAATTTGTGGAAAATTTGCATTAACCACATTTTTATAAAAATCAGTTAGTAATTATTTAATTGATTTTTTTAACTTAACTTAACTTAACTTAACTGAGGTAGTTTACTGCATTTCTGGGTTGAATTAAGATACAGAATGTCCATAGCTTTACCATAGCACAAGAAAACGCACTTTGCAATTTTTGGTAGTTATTGCCTTTCTCCATAGTAGGACAGTATAATTTTCATCATATTTAGGCACTAGAGAGTTATGTGACGCTCATTCGACATGTTCCCGAAAACGCCATACAGACAACCTTCCTGACCATATGATGAAAACAATTAAATTACAGACAAGATCAGTGCTCAGAAAACGCGAGGGTTGCTCGTCAGACAAAACGACGACTAATTTACCTAAAATATCGTTGAAAGTTGGAGAAATCGTGAAAGATCGAATTCCCCCCGATGAGATTAAACTAGTTAAAATTCCGTTTAGACAGTCGCATTTGTCTTTTAACATGTCGGATAATGCATTTGAGTCCATGGGAGACGAGGTAGCCGATACATTAGATCTAAACAACGCTAAAATTGTCACTGGGGCTCCAGCTGCCAAGTTACTGGCATCTGCAGAAGAGGAAAATTGCACTATAACTACTAAAAAATAATATAAGAATTATTGTTTACTATATATATATAAGTTATACATTTAATTTAGTTACAATAAATATTAATAAATAAAAATTATTGTATAAATTTCGTTCCTTGTGCCTGTTTTAGTTGTCTAAAATTAGTCAAAAGATCAATAATTCAGGTTCAGTAAAAGGTATGTGTATAAACCTACATACATACTTTGTACTTTTATTGAAACCAGACAGTTTGGAAACAAAACTGTTTTTTTGACTTTATTCGAAATGTCATCCGCAAACTTTGATTTATCGCCATTATAAATAATTTATTACGCTCGCTGTTTTATAAAAGTTTAAAGTCCTTTAAAACTCCTACTATTCGCGTTAAGATGTGAATGTTTGTTACTTTATAAATATTTAAATTGATTTGCTCTCGAAACAAGTTTCAAGTAGGAAAAGCAATTGAATATTTTCTTTGCTCAGGTTTGAAGTTGGAGCCGTTTTTTCAGATAACTTAATACGCTAAGGAAGCATCGGATTTTCGCAATACGTGCGCCATCCGGTGGCGCTCGATAGCATTGTGGGAATCCAACAATTGTCAACAGTACATTTAAAGCATATGAACTGCACATCATTTTAAATGATTAAGTAGTTTTTTCACAAAAGAGGAAGGCAGAAGTCTTACTCAACAAATTTTGTTCGAAAAGCTTCAATTGCACAACTAAATCGCGTACGTTATTTATGTTTCGCATTGCAAGTAAAAACTGCAAAAAAATTTGGTTTAGTACTCGATTTTGATAATAATAACACTAGTTTACAAAATGAATAAAAAATTCTGCCCACCATATCCCACTTTAATTTTCCCTTGTATTTTGACCCACTAAACACGAAAATTACACTTTTTGGCGGTGTTTTGACGTTTTTGAGTATAGCTTGAAATGTAATTTATTGATTTGGCCAAACAAGCTCTTAAATTGAAGGTATTTAAGCCCTCTAAAACTTTCTTCTACATAAGCTTGATATCGGAATAGTATATTCTGTAACAAGTTTGGAATACAGCATATTCCGCTCGAGTGAAGAGTTTGTCACACTAGCCGAAGGCGAGTTTGACGGTTTCACGAGAGCGGAATATGCAATTCCAAACGTGTTTCAGACTATACTTTTTCTACGTTTCCAAAAAATACCATATAAAAATAATTTAAGTTAAAGAAAGTGAGGTTGGATCGGTCTAAAATTTGTTAGATATAAAAAACAGAGATGTCGCCACGAGTGTTTATTCTGTTATCAGATGATAGAATATTTCATTCTGTAACACTTTACGGAATAAATGTCATTCCATAGATAAAAGTGATATTAGAACGGTCATATTCCATAATAGGAGTAGAAAAAAGTATTTCGATGCTAGCGATTTTGATAACTTAAAAAATTCGTTGTTATGGCAAAAATTGAGGTCGAAAATTTACATATCGTCCTGGGGAAAGGTTTAAATCAAACAGATAACCAGTTTTTTTCGTAAAGCTGACATTTTTACAAAAAAAACAAGCTAATGTTGACAAAAATCCATTGATAACTGGCGAAGTTATGAATTTTTTAGTGGAAGACCAAAATTAAGTAAGTGATGAGTACGGAGAACGAATTAACCAGCAAATGAAGGCTATGGAGCAGCGGTATCACGGCTTCTGGGATGCAGCCATGATGGGTAAAAAAAGGACATTTTCAAATCGCTAGCATCGAACTAATGGGCCGATACAAAAACTAGAGAGATAGTTGTAGAGGGCTTATAATAACCTTTGATGTAAGTGCTTCTTTGGTCAAATCGATCAATTATAACTCGAAGTATACTCTAAAACGTCAAAACACTTCAGAAAATTTTAAAAAAAGAACTGAAAATTCATATCTCGAAAACGCTCCCATGAAATGGAAATGGAAATGTGATTTTCGCATTAAGTCAGTCAAACTACACAAGAAAATCATAGTAAGACATGGTGGGCAGAATTTCTGTTAACTAGTGTAATAAAAATAATGTTTATTGTGCAAAATAAAATACAATTTCTTACACAAATGGATGTAGTTAGCTTAGCTATCTTCAACCACAAAAAAACACATTGAGTCCCCAAAGAAAATATAAAATACCTACATTTAGTGAACAAAAAAACTATAAGCAATTAGTCAATAGTCAATATAAATAGCTTCAATAATTTTTTCAATTGTATAAAGAAACAGCTCAAAATAAAAAAAAAACTTGATTCAGGTACAGACAAGTCTAATCTTGTTATTTTTCGAATAAACAATAGTTACCTAAATGTACCTGAGCAATCTGTGATAATCAATGAACTTGTGTGCTTTGTAAAAGACACAAAGTTTCTGGGTGTCTATATAAATGAAAATTTAAGTTTGCATAAAATTGTTCAACAGATATATGATAAACTTAACAAAGTCTTATATAGTTTTAGAGTTTTGTATCAATATGTTATGTTATGTTTTTGGGAAAGTAGCAGTGATATTAAAAATGTGTTCATCATTCAAAAAAGAAGTTAGAAGAATGCTTATCTTCAAGAACCTCATGTAGAGGTAAATTTAGACAACTGAAAATACTTACAGTTAGTGGCGTATATTTTTATCAATATTTAATGTTTTTTGTAAAGAACATCAGTTTGTTGTAGTACGTTTTGTATATTATAATTCTATTATAGGTATTTCTAATATACATTTTGCCGGTTGTGTTGTGATGTGCTGTATGTACTTTCACGATGGAGTTGGAATCATTAAAACTCTTTTGAAATAAATGAAATTTAATTAATTTATTTAATGTTTTTGAAGGTAAGGTATCAATTTAAATTTATAATAAAAATGTTATGTTAAATTATATTTATGTTAGTTTATTGGTGTTAGTATAAAAAAACCTGCGTTTTTTTTAAATCAAACAATACATGTGTTAATTTATTAAAAAAAAAAAAATTTGTAAACCTTTTTTTTAGTCAATCTTCTAGTTTTCAACGATGCCAATATTTGGGCTTAAACTCCTCTCACTACGAAGGTCCTTGATTTTAATTGTTAAATGCATGTTTTAATAATTAAAATTAAAAGGCCCATGTGGTGAGAGGAGTTTAAGCTTAAATACTAACAACACTGGTAGTTTTAGTGAAGATCAGAAGCTTTTGAATAAAGTAATACATACTATTGGACCAAGAGATATTTTCTCCAAAATTAAAATAAAATGTGGTTAGGTCAATAGTATATATACTTTTGTAGAAAGACAAATTTTCTTGTTAAAATCCCATTTATTTTTGCGCTTCTTCATTCAAAAGAGAAATATCTTTAAACGAATATATTAATCTCTTTCCTCAAGTAATTTAAATAAATGTATTTAAAGATATTCAAAAGCGCAAATCTTTTGAATCAAAGTGATTTTCATTTCTTTTAAGAGAATATTTTTTTCAGTCTGGGAGTAGAAAAAATATATTTTATAGGGTCATATCTGTGGGTGGCAAATTGAGACCAGTAAAAACTTAATTTAATATTTTTTATCGAAGCCAATGGCTTTAGCCAATTGAAAATTTCTTTCTTTGCCGAAAATTTTTCGGGGTGTATTTAATAAGATGGGCGTGTATGAAATGAAACTACCCCGAGAACGTGATGACAGTACGAGGTGAAAGGCATTTCTGGGCGAGCGTATTAAAGAAAATCGCAACTTTGCACAGGCTAAGGCATATTCACCGTGGCAAAGGGGGAGCTATAAGATTGGAGACGGGTCTACCTCTCGCGGGATGACTAAAAAACCGCATTAAAGACTGATGATCCAGCTACATTATACAATATATACCAACGCCAAGCAAGCTATGGTCGAATAAAACGCATCATTATCAAACTTTCCATTCGATACTTTTTTATTTAATTTTTTGACCCTTTTTGGTTCAACTTACACTGTTGGAAATTTCGTAATTTCCTATAGCCAACAATTCTTTTTAATGGTATAATACGAACATTTTCGGATTATAAAAAACAGAAAAAACCTCCGTAAGTTCGTAAAAAATGTATATTTTTTTAAATCATCTTAAAAAATTTGCTTTTTTTTTCAAGCGTACAATAATTCTCATATTATAACACTCATACGTCTATACGTCTATGTATTTTTACTATAGTTTAGTTTAAAAGTCAAATTATTATTAAACAGAAATAAAACTAAAATTTCATCATTTTAGTTGAACCTATCCGTAAAAAAATATTTAATTAAATGCCTTTTTTTGGGAAAAATAGATTTTTTTTAAATATACACATTTTAATGAAAGTAGGAATCAACAACTTAATTTTAATAATTATTTTATTTAAAAAAAATATCCGTTATTACAGGAAAAAAACATTAAAACTAAACATTGAATTAAATTTAATTGACTTAGGGCCGGTTTATCAATCTCTAGTTAAGTTCCAGTTAGTCTATCTGACAGTTAAATTTCATATCGATCGTTGTGAGAACAATGGTATCCATGGAAATTATCTAACAGATAACTAACTGCAACTTTAACTGGACATTGATAAACCGGCCCTTAGGAAAATAAACGTAAACGTTAAATATACTGTCGGTTGGGTCCTTTTTGTAAAATATTCATTTACAAAATAATTAATAATTTATAAAGTTAAATTACAGAATTATAATTTCAAAAGTTTATGTGTCAATACAGTTTTGTTCACAGTAAAAAAATATTTGTTAATTTTAACCAAATATTAACCAGATTTTATGTTAATCCAGGCAGGCGCGTACGCAGGATTGTGTCCTGGGGGGGCAAAGCCTGGTAAGTTAACTAATAAGACATATTATTTTTTATTTTTACATTATGTATTGCAAAAAAAATAAAACAAATAAACTCTTAATACAGCAAAATGTTAACATTAACACTTTTCTTAAACTAAATAAAAATAAATATTGAAAAAATTACAAAATTATTGTTTGAAGAAAAAAGTTCTTAGTGGAAGAAAACAAATACAAAATCTCTTTAATGTTTCTTCTTTCAACCAAGTGCAAAGTTTTTTTGCTTAAAAGC